GATCTAATATTGTTGGAGAAACTACCGTATATTCTGGCGTATAAGACGACTTTTGAGAGCGTCAAAACAGTCTCTGAACTCGGGGGTCGTCTTATACGCCGAGTCATCTTATACGCCGGAAATAAGGTAGTTTCTGGCATATTAGATGACTTTCTAGGCATGCGACTCGGTGTCGATCGTCTTATACGCCGGAAATACCGGTAGTTTCCGGCGTATAAGATGACTTTCTAGGCATGCGGCTCGGCGTCAATCGTCTTGCAACTCGGTGTCGATCGTCTTATGACCCGGCGTCGAACTAGGGGGTCGTCTTATACGCCAGGTCGCCCTATACGCCAGAATATACGATACCGTATCATATTTTCTATACAGTATAAAATGGTATATATCACCATCTTCTTTCCCATGCCTAATGTTGTTATAAAAATAATAGTCTAGTAGTTCAACCCAAACATCTTTATGACTGGTTTTTCCAGATCATTCCCTTTTGTGTAAAGTGAAAATTATATATGCTGTTCCCCATGATTGTGGTTTCCTTCATTGTGCTTGTAATTGCTCTTGGGTTCTTTATAATATTGACTGCTTTTCCTATATTATTTTCCAGCTTTATAATATCCTTTAGTGCTGCCTCAGCCCAAGGCTTCTTGAGGGCAGATGTTGGCAGTTTTCTGTTTCCTTCCTAATGATTTCAAGCATTAATGTGGGTTGACATTTTCATGGAACCGTTGATTCCAAGTTCCCTTTCTTGATCTTTTCTTATCAGTTACTGCCAGCTCAGCCCCCACTTTTGTATATATGAAATCTGAGGTCAGGAAGTGTTGCAAGAGGTTGCCATTGTTTTGCACTTGTTTACATTGAACTGGATTTTCAATTTAAAGCCTATTCAAAAGAGGGGGAGGGGAGGGATATTTTGAAAGCTCTCTCTAATCCTATTTTGATGTTATCAACTTGAGTAAATTGGTATCATCAAAAATCTTGGTCACTTATCAACATTTGAAATAAAACAAAACTGCAGTCCTGATGCAGTTTCTTGATAGACTCTCTTTTGCATACTTATCTAATCTGAAAGCCTTTTATTCTCATTTGCTTTCCATCCTTTAACCATTTATCACCCTCTAAGAGACTTACTGATTGGGGGAAAACTCAACAACCCGCAAAGAGAAAAAAATGGGAGAAAACAACAAAAAGAGTAAATTCAGGTGTTAATATATGTAGTCCTTGACTTACTGTCACAATAAAGACAAGAAAATTCATTGTGGTGCTGTCATTAAAGTGAGGCATCATGTGACTGCACCCAATTTTATGATCTTTTTTCTGTAATCATTAACTGAATCACCTGCTTGTTAAGCAATACCTCATACAACTGCAACTTGCAGTCTCCTGCCAGCTTCCCCTTTGATAGTGCTTGTTGGAAGCCAACTGGGAAAGTCACAAATGGCAATCATATGACTGTAGGATGCTGCAACCAGTTGTTGTTAAGTGCAAGCCAGATGCCAAGCATCTGGATAATGATCATGTGACTGCAGGGATGCTGCAACCGTTGTAAGTGCAAGGATTGGTTATAAGCCACTTTTCATCATGACTTCAAGGACCAATTGTAGATATAAAACTGGGAGAAAGAAATTGAAGAGTTTCCAGAGAACCAGTGAATACTTTTTACGGTTAAGGTACTGAACCAGGAGCTGGGGATTTAAATTTTAGTTCCCCCTCAGCCATGAAAGCTCATAGACAGTTATTCTCAACCCAACCTACTTCATAAGTATGGGGAAAATAGGAAGTTGTGCAATGCAAATCCCCTTGAGATCCTATGCAAAAAGCTTGGATATAAGTGAAACCTGGATGTCTTTTAAGTCCCAGCTATGTGACAATTGCCTTACTTATGTGCATACAAGACATGTTCCATCCCCATAATAGTTTATTAAATATATATGCTGCCCAATTCTCAGGGACTCATCATACTATTTTCCCTCAAAAATTTGTGTTTATACTTGGATTGCTTTTATTTCAGGTTTTGGGACAGTCGGAGCTTTTGTATTTACCAAGGGCACTTTGTTTTCCAGTTGCAGTACTGCTAACTTTACTTATAGAATGCTACTAAGGGAATGGTTTATGCTAACAATAAAAATCAAATGGCAAGTTTTCAGTCAACGTTGAAAAACTGAAGGGGAATAACAATATAAGTGAATTTGGTTTGTCTAAGATTTGGTTGTGAAATTTGCCAGCAAAATATATCAGGAAAATTAAGAATAACAAAGGTACATATGAATTCCTGATTTTCTGAAGGTTTTATTTTATCTATCCAGGATCAAATGTACTGAACATAATTCAAATCTCTGCATTCTACACTATTCACAGTATTATTTTCTTCAAAATCTCCCCAGATTTCTACACTCAAAAGTACACACATACGCATTTAGTAAGCAACCCAAGAAAAGGTTGCCAACCCCACCTTGATTGCTTAGAAAACATTCTTTAGTGGAGCTCAGCAAATTCTTCACTTGATCTCTCTGAATTGTTGTTTACCAACAAAATCACCTCAGGCTTGTTTTTCCCATTTTTTTTTAGAAAGGATTATTCTTCATTTGAATAATTTGAGCACATTTTGTAGAATGCAGTAATTGTATGAAAAACCTTGGAATCAGTCTCCAGACACTCAATGCTGTAAAAGGACACTCTTCTTGAATATTATTTCCAGGGTGTGACTTGCCATTTTCAGGGCATTTGTGTGTGAGATCTCTCCTAATTCATAGAATGATAGAATACTTATTATCAGTTGTGTTTATTGACTTCAGTGAATACTCGTTAAAGTTTTACCTTTTTCAAGAATGATTTTTTTTCATTGTTGCCCATCTCTGCTTGTCTATTATAATCTAGTTCAGAGGTCCTCAACCTTTTGGGCACCAGGGACCAGTGCCATAGAGAAAGATTTTTCTGCGGACCAGAGGGGGTATGGTTTTGAATACTGCCTGCATCCTGAGGATGTAGCTTTGCTTGTTTGTGTGGCCCACTTGCTGGCATGCTGTGGACCAGTGTCAGTCCGCGGACTGTGGGTTGGAGACCCGACCCTTAATCTAGTTGAAATATTGGGATTGTTTGCCATTCTTCTGTTTTGCTTTGCTTTTATAAACACAAGCTTTTTCTTTAAATTGCTGGTGTGTGCAATAGTTTGGAAGTTTGGTTGACTTCAAGAAGCACTGAAAATATTGAGAAAGCAATTCTCAAGTCACAAAAGCGGGCAAAGGTGAGGGGATGTGGCAGAGTCTCTGCAAATGAGCTCCGAATGGAACTCAAGTCTGGTCTGACATCTCCACTCATTCCTGTGCCTCTGAGAATTCAAATGTCACCTGTCAGCATACATACAGCCATAGGCAATTTAATCACTGTCATTTTGCTAACAAGAGTTTAAGAAGCCACTAGGCTGGAGTATTTACTGAGAATAACCAGTGCTTGACATTGAAAATTGCATTGGAGTTAAGGGTAAAAGTGCCAGTGTCCCCACTGCCTACTTGGGAACAACAAATACCTCTGGCATCCTTGTAAGGCATATATTAAACTGTTAGGGGTTAAATAATATCAACCAGCCATTGGCAAATTTTGTCTTAGAAGCCTGTCTGTTTAGTAACATTTAAATGGTTCACATCTTTCCAATGTAAACTAGACAAAATAGATAAAATACATGCGTGGAAATCTCCCTTCTTCCTCTTACTTTAAAGACAAACAATAATTTATATGCATTTAATACAATAATGTATATCTCATCCTTCAATCTCACAGAGAAACATATAAGTAACTAAAACATTACAAAAATAGAGGAAAACAGAAATAATTAGCTGATAATAGAGGCAAAGAAATCACATATAACTAAAAGTTGAGAATTGGAATGCAGTGTGAAATGCCAGAGCTGTTCAAAATTCTGTCTGAAGTTGTCTTCACCTGCCAGAAATGGCTAAAAAAGACAGGAAATCAGACCTTCAGAGAGAGAGAAAATGCTTCTTTTGAGTATTTTGGGGTGCTATCACAAAAATGATACATCACATGTGCTGACTAATTTGCACCTATTCATCTTGGAACACCGAAAAATAATTTTCCAGTTTTATGTATTGGCAGGAAAGTGATCCAAAGACACAGACTAGGTAGATAGCCTGGGTTTAAAAGAAAATTATTTGATTTCTGCCTAGATGCATATTGCTAATGATGCTGTTTTATTTTTATTTCCTCTTTTGAAAGGGGGTAACTTCGTTGCCTTTCCACATCTGAAACCTTTTGGCCAGAGCTGTTATCTGAACATTAATTAACAAGCTAGGACCAAGAGAACTCCCAAACTGTGTGATTAATTTCAAGTGGGAAGATCCTACCAAAGAATGCAATAAACCCCTTCATTAAGAAAATTAACGCCACTGCCCTTTTTGAAAAAGAGAGGGGGGGATTCTCTGCCTTGTCTAAATTAAGCTTTTAATGATTGCCTTCAAGCACATTGTGGGCAGGTATTTTCCCAATAGAACCGTGTGTCATCTTGGGCATCCCAACTCTCTGGATAAAGGACATACTTTAATTTTCCAAGTAGAATGGTCCAGAGGAAGCAAAAAAGGCTTATAATCTATTACATGGCTAGAAACTCCTTGCCCAATCATATCATGTTCTATGTTGAGTCAGAATAAAGATAGGGAGTTGTTTGCCCCCTGGCAATTCCATTTTCCCTACATGGCGAGAGACTTTGATGTAAACACGTGCTTATTTAATACATTGGTTCCAAGATGCTTATCCAGAAAAGGCTAGAAGGGCAGTTGTAGGCCTACTTAGGAGATTTTGTCCTATTTAGGGTAGCTGGAATAGTCTTAATACAGTATCCCCTAAATACCACTTGGCTTACTTGCTCAGCTTTCTTAAAAAGAAAAAAAATACTATTTCTAATGCACAACTTGACACTTTTTCATGTCAGTGGTTTTCTCAGAAGAAAACTGTAATAGGAATTGCAACTTGACCACTAATATCATCTTTTGCAGAACCATAAAAGTAGAAGTGTATGACTGGGATCGAGATGGCAGGTAAGTAGCATTTAGCTCCTTGCATTTAGTCTTTTTTTAAAAAAATAAAAATAAAACCTACATTGATAAAAATTAAATGAAAATAAAGTGCAGAAAACGTGTGCAGCATGCTTCAATTTACAGGCCTGTGTTCCCCACAAAAGAGAAAAGGCTTACTACCCCAGTCTAGAATTCTAGCTGTGATGTTGAGAATGATGAGAAAATTATAAATCCAAACACATCTCACAGCCCCTAGATTTGTAAAGGCTTTATGAATCAACTTTAATAAAGAGTCTAAGTAAATGATGGGGAAGAATGAAAAGTAAACTAGAACTCCATATACTAGTAGTTGGACCAGTATATGCAAATTAAGGAAATGAGGAAAAGGCAGAATTACCACTGATTGGCTATGATGTTTTGTTATTCCTCATCTGGACCAAGATATAAAGAAATAGGAATCTTTGTTGTATATCACCTCTCACAATCCTATTTTCTGTTAACAGTCATGACTTCATTGGAGAGTTTACAACCAGCTATAGAGAACTGGCACGAGGACAAAGCCAGTTTAATGTCTATGAGGTGAGTAGCTTCTACAGGTGCCCCTTAATATCAGCATCCAAAGTTAATTGATATTGATGGATGGCTGAAAAAAATGGTTGAAATGGTTTAACGAATTCTTGCCTTGAACTAGCAGCCAGACTTTATGACACAAGTAGTTCAGTCTATTAAAACCCCTGCATTCTGTGCTGCTTTGATTAAAACTGTGGGTTTTTTCCCCCATGCCATCACTCTGCTGAACACTTAATTCCGAGAGCACTGTCTCATTTCTCATCTTTTCTCATCTTTTCATCTTTTCTACTATCTTCTCCTATTGGTTTCTTATGATTTATTCATTGTTGTTTCTAACTTATGATTAATGATTGTAACTATGATTTATCACTATGATTTATAATCTATAACCTATTACTTGCTGTTTATATGTGAGCTTATGCACTGGAGACAAATTCTTTATGTGTCCAATCATATTTGGCCAATAAACAATATTCTGTTCTGTTCTGTTCTATTCTATTCTCAATAGTTACATGCTCTCCTTGAATCACATTTTTGTACTTATTACAATCTTTCCCATCAAAATAACCAGATTAAGCTGTATGGTTTCTTGTCAATTAAAGTGTGAAATTGTAGGAAATGGCAGTGTAAGCCTTAACATAGGCTTAACTTAATTTTTTAGAAAGGCAAAGCAAAAATCCCCCCTCCTCAAATTCAAGGTGTCATTTATCAACTTCGCCCATCTGCATGATGAATTATGCTACTTTTTCCTGGCTTTATGACATTCTCCCTAGACCTTTCCGAAACCATAAATCTGGGAGGGGGGAGTTCCACTACAGCATCAGTTCTTCAGTTTAGTGTTCTCAAGATACATTGGACTAGTCCTATACTCCCTATTTTGTAAAAGGGCTTCAGCTCAACACATTTGTTGGGTAGCTGGTTGTGTTAGAAAATCCCAGCTTAATTTTAATTAAAATGAGTGAGAGTTACATAAGACCACTATTAATTCAATAAGGTTTCTGCAGACTGTGATCTAAAATATCTTAATAAATAATAATTGAACAGCAAATGGTAGGTACCCTTTAGCTATCCATGTTATAGGAAGTGATACCCAAAGCCTGGTAAAATATTTTATTACTGTAAGGGGAGGAAAGGTCAAAGATTATCTTTCTCCCAAGCAGATAAAATACAAAGCGAATAAGAATAATTTCCATCTCTTTCATGACTTTCAGCTGGAGGCAGTTGCTTCAAAATTCATAATAGTATTGCTGCCCCTCTCAGAAAACACTTTCCCATTAAGGTTTCATTTCATCCTTTCTCAGTTCGAAGCCTCCAAAACTTTTGAACTTCAACACCCATTAACCTTGCCAGTGTGATTTCTGACTGGGAATAATGCAGGCTGGAAATGATGGCAATTGCAAAGAAAGAATCAGACTGTGATAGGGTGATCTATTAACATTCTTTCCTTTTTTTTCTATTCTGTTCAATCGTGCCAATTTTCTGAGACTGGCTGGACAAGTTCCTGCCGTTTTCCTGGCAAGGTTTTTCTGAAGTGATTTGCCTCTGCCTTCTTTCTAGGGCTGAGAGAAACTGGTCCAAAATCACAAAGCCAGCTTTGTGCTTAAGGTGGGACTAGAATTCAGTCTCCCTGTTTCTAGCCTGGTGCCTTAACTACTACACCAAACTGGCTTTTATTGATATTGTAGAACAGTTTTTATAGTTACAATTGATTCCTTTGATTCCTGGAGCAGTAGCAGGAATTCTTCTCTCTTGTTGAATAAGATTCTAATCCCAGCACAGGTAGAAATACTGTTTTACCTCTCACAGTCTATTTTTAAGACTCGTTTTAGACTACAACACCCTTTCTTTTTCAATGCATCATGTATCAATATAATTTTCTCCTCTGTTAGGGGAAAAAAATTCTAAGTATAAATCTTTCAAAAACCATCTATACTCCTGAAATATTGAGGCTCTAAGCCAATGGAGTAATGCTATATATATATTTCATATTGCTATATATTTTCAGTATTTTCTAAAGGCCAAATTCTGGTCTACATAAGACAGGTAACATTCAGCAATGAATGAACTGTTTATCCTGGTACATTAACCACGTTTTCTAAATGTGGTGCCTCCAGAGTTGTTGGCCTAAAACAAAGGAAATTCTCTGCCCTATAAATTGAACTTGGCCCCTAAAAATATATGCACGCATTCCTTGTATTTATAGAAGCAATTTTTCCCCATTTTTCAGTTGGGAGAAACAAACCTTTCAAATTCTCCCAAAATTTCCTATTTAGACCAGTTTCAGACCATTGCTTCTCCATACTATATTAACAGCTTTCACAATCCTATAAGTAGATGCAAATAAAATATTTACAGTCAAATGTTCACATGGAGTATACACCTGTTATTTTAGATGAAAATACATTAGTTTAAAAATGAACAATAACTTTAGAGTCTGAATTATATCTTTACACTAAACTCCTTTTGCTACTAAAATACTAAGAGACAGTGCTTTTTTTCTAAAAAAAAAAGGTGCCGGAACTCACACATGTCATACAACCCGCCTTGCCTACCCTACAAGGTTCCATCCAAAAAAATGCTGGATCTCCGTTCTGGGCATTCTATGAGAAAAAAAGCCCTGCTAAGAGGTATATCTGCTCTACAGCTAAGCAGGTCATGGTGTACAACTGATTTAGTATGCCCAGTTGTAGTACAAAACCACTGATTAGGCATTGGCAACCACAGTACTGTGTTAATTTCAAATCTCAATAAAAACATAAATAAGGGATTGCCAGTATGAGAGTGGAGAGAAGTAATTTCAGCCAGATTGTGTGCAGTATCATAATTAGAGTGAATTGGAAGCTTGACTATTATCCACTCCAGCTATATGATTACCAGTCTGTCTGCCCTATTCCTCCTTTAGGGAAAGCGGTTTGAAAGATATTAACTCTATGCCTTGAAACGTATATAGCTTTTGCTAATTTTCTGTTCCAATTTGTCCAGGAGCTCAAGAAATTAATGTGGATTCTTTTCTCTTTTATGATTTTTATACATTTTTTGTCAGATATTGTAAAGTTTCTCGGTGATGTTTCCCCATTTACGATTCTTTTTCTGATCTAAAATCTTTCAGACTTTTCAGCCTGAACATCCCATTGTTTGGAATGGGACTACCAGAGCTTTATGCAACAGTTCAGTTGCACTCTCACCACTGAGTTATATAAAAGCATTATAACACTTGCTGTTCTATTTTTAACCTATTTCCTGATCTTCCCAAACACAGTGTTTGCCTTTTTCATTTCTGCATGCTGAGAAGATTTTTTTTTTAACCTATACACCACAACCAAAATATCTCTTTCCTGTTGAATCATTAGAGCCTATTAGGCTACCTGTAGATCTGGCAAAGAACTCTGTTTTCCTAATCCAGTTTGAGGGGGTTGCTTTGGCTTTTGTCAAATTGTGGTTTTACCACCTTGAATAATTTAGTGTCCTTGGCAAGCTTGGCAACTTCAGGGCTCATCTTCTGACCTGGGTCATTGATGAATAGAATGCATAACATGGGGGGAGGAGTATGTGGGAGAGGTGTGGGGAGGTCATCACTTGTTCCACTGTGAAAACTGTGTAATTCTCTCCTGAATTCCATGCTATGCTCAAACATTCTTATGAGATAACATATAGGTTATTACAGGAATCTGTGGGAAAAGGTTTTCCTCAAAAACTATTTCCAGGTTGAAGAATATAAATTTCCCTTATCTGTACAGCATTTGGTAAAAGCTCTGATGATGTTATATAATTGGCATAATTTATGTGATAGTGTCATGATGTGCACAGATGCCCATGCATATCTACATACCTCTTGAGACTACTGACATGTAAAGTTAATATTGAGCTTTAAATAGTGCTGAACAGGTGCCAAGAGGCTGGAACTAGATTTGACTGAGTTCACACAATGCCAGCCCCACTTAAGCAGACCAGAAGATGAAATCAACTCTGTAAGATGACAAAAACTGCTTTTATTGAAAGTGATTGCTATAATAGAATATTGCACGTGCTAAGTGTGCTGTACTTCACCCTCCTTCCTATAGTTCAGTGAATTCAAGAGGCCTAGTATCTGCCTGAGCCACTTCTGAACGTTAGCTGAATGTATCGGACTTAAAAATGTTTTAGCCCCTTTTACCTAGGTAACAGTTTTTCAGTGTCTCTGCCAGGGTCATCTTCCATGCTCTCTACATATGGTGAGCTAAACCACTATTAGTTATATCCTGCCATTGTACCTTGTAAACAATGATGAACAATTTAATATTAAATGTAAATTCAACCATTTATTTTTTTTAATAAAACATGATTTAAAAAATCACATTTTGGCATGACGTGATCTCAGCTGATAGAGTCTGTGGCCTGTCACTAGTTCTAGTTGTAATATGCATTGATGGTGACTTTTTGCTTGAGTTGAAGATCTGACTTCACCAACAGATGACAAAGTCCATGTGAAGCTGAAAAACAGAGTTGCAGCAGTGTGCATGCCTACATATGTGGCCAGTTAGTTCAGACCCTGGAGTTTCCGTTATTACCAATCATTTTTTGCATATTAATGTCTTATGCTCAGTAGTCCTGTTATAATAGTATCTAATGTGACAGTTCTAGGACAGTTTCTCATATGACTGGCCTGACTAGGCACAGGGAGATCCCAGCTGCTCCTCTCAAAGAAAGTAGTTTCTCTCCTCAGTAAGGGAAATATGGGGAGGAGAAGAAGAAAACAGAGATGAGAAATTTGCATAGTTTATATAATTCACAAACTCTGCTCTTCTAGAGGACAGAATGCCATGAAATTGGAAAAAGAATTTACATTTCTGTTTTTCATAATAATGAAAAGAAAGATATTCTCTTTGGCAAATGGCCATAAAATCAAATCTGATATTTTTCTTATTTCCTTTCAAAGGAATGAAGGAACCCATATATAAGATTATATTTAAGCCATTAATAGGAAAACTTGTGATTCTCCAAATATTGCTTAACTGCAGCCCTTGTAACCCTCACTACTGGCTATGCTGGCTGAGATTGCTGGTTGTTAAAATTTAGCAAGCGCTTCTAGAAAATATATGGTTAGTAGATACTTATTGTGTTATCTTTTTATAATGGAGCTAGCTGAACCCATTCAATGGAAAGCTGAATATTTCAAACTTTTTCTCCCAGAAATCATCCAGGTCTTCACACTTTGGCCTAATGTCTTGCTTTCAAATAGTTACTAACTAGTACTGGTATCTGTTGCCATCACCCAATTCCCTACTTGACACACTTCCTGTAACCTTTCTGTGTTATTCATTCATTCATTCATTCATTCATTCATAACATTTACATAGCTGCCCTTTTTTTTTTGTTTACAAAACTCTGGGTGGCTTCCCATCCCAATATATGAGAAATATGGGATTTTCAAACGTTTTGTTCCCTTTCTAGCTATTAAAAGGTTAAAAATAAAATAGAATATTTCCTATGATGCAAGCTCCTGAGTGTGTAGCTTAGAGGCATATGGCTAAAAGATTTCAGTCCTTGTTTGGTATATGGACAAATCTCACAAGATATAGACAAAATCAAATTTTATTATGAGAAGGAGATAAACTACAACGCTCCTTTTGAACGTTAAGGTTTAAATTACACATGTTTAACATTCTAAAAAAAAGAGTTACAGAGTTGCCTTAATCAAGGTCACCAACTAAACCAAAAATCCATAGAAAAATCAAAAGAAGGTAGGCCACAAAATGGGGTGGACCTGCTACAAATAAACAGAAGGCATTCCAGCAAACTCTTGAAAGGGAGAATACAAAAATTCCAGATGACTATATAATTTTTAAGAAGATCCTATAGAAAATATTCACTCTTCATGCCCCTGATATATGAACAAAAATTAAATAATCTCAATTTTCTAAAGTAAGCAGCAAAAATTAATATTATTTTTCTGCATAGTTTAGAAAACTGGGTTTACCCCCAATGTTTTATTCTTTTCCATGCAGAAAAAGAAAAGAAGAAAAAAACAAGCACAGTTTTCTAGCTGGACCTTTATATATTTCAACAGAAATATCTAAATAGTAGTTTTCTGCATCTTCCAGTTTTGGGGGAGTCTAATCAGAGACTCCTGAAGAAGTAATGCACTCTCAATCTTTTTCATCCCCTTTCCCCTTTTCAGCTATGCACTGTGCTTGAAAAAAATCCTTTTTGTCTTTAGAAGAGAGAGGTACTCAGTTTAATTTTAAATGTGGCCAAGAATCATGGTTCACTTGTGGATGTGGATTAACTGTCTGACATGAGTTTGGTCACTTATGAATGCCATATTTTAGCCTGCCCATTCACAATACTTCCTGTCATTTTCCCTATCCCCATTTAAAATTACCCAGCCACTGTTATTTATGGATTAGTGAATTCTACAGAGATTCTATACATTATGAAGGGCACTTCCATTGATTAGCCTTGACTCTCCCACTAATCTGCTATACCTTTAATAAACCTGTATAAAACTTTGGAAATGAGCACTTCAAAAAAAACATTCACAGATATGAATGAAGCATAGTTTTGGAAAAGTCATATTATTTAAAAGTTTCATGTAAAAGCTTTAAGTCTTTTCCCAGTTGTCTGTATGTGTGCATTTGTATGCAGACTGTGACCTACTGAGATTTTCAGTGAAGTGGGGTGACCACATGGATGTATCTATGCTGCAGTAAGCCTTCAAAGTGGCCACACAAACCTTTTAAAGCTTGCATCCATTTTAATGCTTTGAAGAGGGATATTTTGCTGGCACCAAGGTGGCTTGCAAAACCGCTCCTTTCAAATGAATATGCAGTGAATTGTCTAACACATACAAATTCCAAATACAGCTGTGTCATAAATTGGTATAAAAAATTATGGTGGAAACTTTATTTTCAAATTTCTTTCTAAAGATCCTTCAGAACTGGATTTCTCTTACATTTGTGTTTTCAACTTTAAGTCTATTCTCATTTATTGTATATTAAGTAGAAAATTATCTCAGAATGGTTAATTTATAATTTGATCGGAATTAGAGCATAATTCAGAAATATTTTATTTTAAACTTAGAACTGTCATACTTCAATAATCTTCTATTTGAAATAAGTCAGATTTGTACACTTCCTATGGTCATTTACAATACTAGATTATATAGTATACTTTGTATATTCAGTTTCTTTTCTTTAAAATAATTTTCTATTTCATAACCACATTTTCATGGATTATATCCCAGGAGACATTTATGATTTGAAACAGAAGGAAACACCCAGTTTATTTGAATGTTGGGTCTTGCATCAGAGCATCTAATAATTCCAATAGCTTGATGATCTGTTGAACGAAGCAGGAGGACTGCATGGCCTCCAGCTTTAACTGCTGAGATGGTAGCAATCTGGTCTGTACGTCATGCTAAAAATAAAACTTTTGCTCCAGAATAGCTCAAATCTTTTAGCAAGGAAATCTGAGTTTCCTAATATGAATAAATTATACACTTTTTTTCTTTACTTTTTACTGGCTTTGAGAAGAGGATAAGCAGGGCACTTTAACCTCATTCCCAAGTATTATGCAGCTGCAGTTCTAGCTGCTAAGATTTAATAGGTGTTGGCTAAACATTAGCAGGACAACTGCTTGGTAAATATTCCTTTGATTAAGATAAAAAAAAACATAGAAGAAGAAGAAGAATTTTTATTCTGTACTAACGCTATATTTTTGTCAGGCAGTGTGGCACACATGTAACTTGATCTATGGCACCCATGATGGAGGAAAGGGTGATACTGCAGCATGTGTTGGCTGTCATATGCTTGATGCAGAGTATATTGTCAGATATTATGGGTGTCTGGAGTGATAAGATTAAAATCTGGGGTCAGGGGAGGTCATGGCATAAAAACATTGCAAAAATCTAGTCGGTGTAGGTGGGATAAAGGACTGAATAATCATAGGTACCAAGTTCATCCTAACGCAATGGAATAGCGCATATACTGATTTAATTCATATTTCATATATGGCATGCTAGGAATTACACCTCCGTACTTATTTTATTATTTTATTTTATTTGTACAAAGAAGCTTTTATTTAAGATGAAAAACCAGCTTAAATTCCATTGGTATTATGGCAAAATACCTCCACACTAATACATACCCCCTCCCCAATTCCTTAAAAGATACCTGGTTCACAGAGCAACATTATAAATTGGTTTTGATGTCATATTAAAAGAAAATCTTATTTTTGTATGTGTCATGGAAAAGGAGTGTATACTAATTAAGATTAACCTGGATTAAGATAACATCATTTGCCTGTTTAGAAAGATCTGTTGACTGTAACAGATGTGTTGATCTGTTTGGGACCTCAGGAGGCAAAGCTTCACCGTCTCCTTGCCTGTAGTAGTTTAACTGGTGTTGCAGTTTTCATTCTCATTGGTACATGATGAATAATAATGAGCATCTTGTGGGATAGTTGCTAGGATAAGAACAAGAAAAGCTGAATTCTTCATATTGCTTTTTAAAAGTGTTCATTCGTTTGTTTGTGGGAGGCTTTAGCATAAGTCCCTGCTCTCTGCATTGCTGAAATAGAACCCTAGCATATATAAAACTAAAGCAGAAGCCAGATGATTTGCAAATGAAGTTGTTTACAGCATACCCACATTTTGTTCTCTGAGCCTCCTTTCCCACTTGCCTCTTCAGTCTTAGACTTCCTTTTTGTTTAAATAGAATTTGTCAACTCCTTGGGGCCACATCACATCTTTTATTTTGTTTTCCAATAGCCCTTTACAAACTGTCATGTCTAGAGATGGAATTAGTATAAACACCAGGAGGGCATCTACTGCTTCTAGTATACATTGCAGGTTCAGCCAGACCAGATGTCTCACAGAGATGTTTAGCATAATTTTTCTTCTTTCTTTCTCTCAGGTGGTAAATCCCAAAAAGAAAATGAAGAAAAAGAAATACTCTAATTCAGGAACAGTGAGTAACATTAGTATAAATGTACTTGATGTATTAAAATACTTCCCCAACATGTTATCTGAGTAATTTTGAAGTTGGGATTTCTTTTTTATTTGAGCTGCAACAATAGAAAATAGACAGCAAATTGCATATATTGATGTAAACTAAACAGCAAATAATGCATGACCATCACTGTTGTTTTCCCCAGCAGTTGTATTATACAAATACCAGCAAGAGGAAGGGCCAATAAAAACAGGTGGCTTTCAATCCTGTATCCAGGATTCCACATTTAAAATAGTAGACAATAGTGCAATCTGATTTGAATCAAAGGCAGACAGAACTGATAAATATTTCAACACAGAGTAAATGTAGAAAGTATTTTGAATTAATGTTAATTCCTGCATGCAAACAAAAATGCAGGCATTTGGGCTGATTGATACATTTGCCAGATAAATCCAGATTATTTTGTTGGTAATTGTTAAATCTGGCTGATGCCTCTGGCATGATATATTATAGTAGCTTGCTCTTTGTTCCTTGTCCATAGGAGAAAATGATTAAATTGTTAGATATATAAGGAAGAGCCATAGTAGTAGATCCCATACAGAAAGTCTGAGCTTTAGTTCCCAGTATGAACTTATGGACCCAGAGAGATTCCTGTTTGAAAAACTGGTACGCCACTGTTAATAACAATGTTCTTTAATCAAATGATCTAACTCACTCTGTTCCTTATGAGTACAGTGACCATATGGTTTTTATTATAAAGAACACCCTTTATTTTAAAAAGTTATCCTTTAGATTTTATTTTTCAAAAAGTCACTTTTGACCTTTATTTTGGTCATTTAAGTTTTACTGTAGAAATGATACCGTTTAATGCACAGTCTTTCACATTTGTGTGAAAAATATGAACATTGAATTATCTTTTTAAAACAAATTTACATATACTGTTTGACTTTAGATATTTTTTATTAGAATATGCATTTTTATAAAGCAGAAAAGTTCTTGAATTTTCCTTTGTAAAATAGAATTATAAACATTTTTTTCCTTGTGTACGTCTTTCAGATTTGCCCCCTGTTCAGGTTTGTCCATTAGATTTTTCAAAAAAAACCAACAACATACGGTCATGATACTTTTGAGAGATTCTCCACCAGAGTGAAACTTTACTAGGCAACTGCTATGACTGGTCTTGTAAGTCTGAGTTCAAATCTTCAGTAAAGAAATAAATATTTCTTCTGGATTTTTGCAACCCAAATCTGATAATCTTAAAAAACAGGGGTGTGGTAACCTATTGGACTGGCAGTAAACTGAAGATGGGATGGCCTTGACATGACTGCAAATCATCATTAGCAACAGATGCTCCTGCCCCAGTAACAATTATTTCATGAGTCCTTATGTGACATACATCCTGTTCTTCCTTTTCAAGGTAACATTGCTGTCATTTGCCACAGAATCAGAACATACGTTTCTAGATTACATCAAAGGAGGGTAAGTGGTCTCTCTTACTAAAACACTGAAACTTAACCCAGACATCATGGGAAAGAGTGTTGGGCTATGTATTCCTACCAACCTGTGCTTGCTGTGGCCTAATTAATATGGAATTGTATTTCAGCCAAAACAAATAAATAGAATAAATTATGCAAATGACTAGTGTTATTTTGCTCTTTCGTTTTCAAAGTCTTGAAGAAGGCATAGTATGATTAACCCCAACATCAGAATTAGGGTTAAAATGCCCAGATAAAACTGGATTATTTTTAAAAGCTATAAAGCAAGGTTTATGAATTGTGATTTGTTTGAGAATCCATAATATTAATTCTAGGTTCAAATGTTCCTCAGTGGCAAGCTACAGCCTGCTACAGATTTAGTAAGTCTGGCACCCCATTTATAGCCTCTAAAATGTCCAAAGATTTCTCCTGCCAAAACAGAGTGTCAAAATGATAATATTTAGTTGTATGATTTTAGGTACGAAAATATCTAAAGAAACAGTGGGAATGTTCCCCAAGTCTCCAGGAAGTGAAACATGTCCTGTTAAAATTCTCCAAAATCCTCAGAAGATAGATCCAAATCATGCTGCCAAAAGATAGCATCGAAATGGCCAAAGATTTTCAGCTGAGAAAACAGAAATAGCGATGGGAATGCAAGGATAAAGTTGTAGTATTGTGAAATGCTCCTATTTCCAACCCAATCCACCATACACAAAAGAAAACAAAGCAAGCTAAGATTTTTTTATCCCTGGTCCCTCTGATCACATCATTGGCATCACTGGAGTTGTGGTCCCGATATCAAAAGATGGCTCCCATATAAAGCTCTCTTTGCTTCATTTCTCCAAAGAAAAGAAGCAAACAGAAGGGATCCAGCTGTTGCACCAACATGATTCTTGCTCCAGTAATGGTTTATTATCCTCATTTGACATGACATGGGAATGCAATAGGTCAGTGATGGCGAATCTTTTAGAGACCGAGTGCCCAAACTGCAACCCAAAACCCAGTTATGAATTGTTAGTGCCGGGTGGGCGTGATCCATTGGGTGGGTGTGGTCCATTGGGTGGGCGTGGCCAATTGGGTGGGCATGGCTGCAGTGGTAATGGCAGACTGGGTGGGACTAAAAAGTTCAATCAATCAATTCCAACTTTGCAAGATTTTTTTTTCCGTGAAAAGTTGAAATTGATTGATTGATTGAACCTTTTTTTTTTTTGCACATGGCGGCGGAGGCCTAAAGTGAAAAGGTTTTATAAAACCCAGCTGAAGGCCTAGGACTGGGGCAATGGGTGTGCCCACAGAGAGGGCTCTGCGTGCCGTCTGTGGCACGCGTGCTATAGGTTCGCCGCCATGGCAACAGATGATTCTTACATTTCATTGTAAAACTATGTTGTAGGATTAGAGATGGATGATAAAGATGGATACAACTGAAGCACTGAGCTGGTGGCATAATGCCAAACTCGATTTCATTGAGGGCCGCATCAGCATTGTGGTTGCCCTTGGGGGGCTGAGTGGGCATGGCCTGCTCAATATCACTTGTGTTGGGGGGTCACCTGTGGGGGGCTGGGCAGGGCTATGGGGGGATCCGGAGGTCTCCAGAAGAGGGGGAGGGACTGAGGCGGGCACTGGAGCCTGGTCCATTGCAGGAGTCTTGCCTTCCCTCTCAGGCTGTGGGGAATCCCCTGGATGGCAGCTTGGACTGCCCAGGGCCCTGAGTGGTGGGGGGCAAGCGTCAAGCTCCCAGGAAGCCGGGACTCCATGACCCCATGAAGCCGGCACCACTTCCTAGGGGATGCCTGGCTGCATGTGGGGCAGCTCCAAGACTGGGCTCAGGTGAAGCAGAGATGGGAGTCCCAGCTACCTCTTGGGGACAGAGTGCTTCCTGCCCTTCATGTTTGCCAGGGCAATCAGGCAGGTGGGATGCTCGTCCAGTGTGTGCGGCAGAGCTGGAAGACAAAGTTGGATGGCGGAGGCTGAGGGGGCAGGGGCCACAGCATGGCAGTCTTTGTGTGCCTTCCACCCTGCCTCTGCCTGCTGCTTGGAGGGTTGGCCCGGCAGCCATGGCACTCAGACCCACCATCTATCTTTGCTTGCCTGCACCTGCCACAGCTAGGTGGGGTGGGTGGGCAGCTGGCTGCCTGGCGTTTCTGGTGGGTCAGATAGCATGCTTCCCCCCCCCTTGCCTCTGCCTCCACCTGCCACTTGGTGGTTTGGCCTGTCAGCCATGATGCTTGGACCCACCTGTACTGCGTGGGCTGCAGGATCTGATGGGTGGCTGAGGGGCTGCCAGCCGCCATGTGCTCGCTGCCTCTTGTGTGTGCACCTAGGGGACACCCAGCCAAGTTGGGGTGGGCTGAGGAGCTGGGGGCCGGTCTCTTGCTGTCAGGGCGGCTCTGTGGACTGGAACTGGGCCCATCACGGGCCAGATGCAGTCCGCAGGCCTTATGTTTGACATGTCTGGACTAGACAAACAAGAGTTTAATTTTAGCTAGTGGTGGTAATTGGACTTCTTCTACTTTGAGAATGCCCAAATAGTATACAGGCAGTCCTTGACTTACTTCAGATTGCTTAGTGACTGTTTGAAGTTACAACAGATTTCCCCCCCCCCAAAAAAGTACTCACAACTTGGTTCCAAAGTTCTAGTGACTGTGCTCCCCTGTGGTTACATGACCACATTCTGAGTGCTCAGCAACCAGCTTGCATTTATAATCATTTGCAGCATCCCACAGTCATGTGACCACAATTTACAGTGTTTTTGCCAAAAAACAGCATTTCCTTCTGGTTTTCAGCACAAGTGCTCCCTAGTGAACAGTGGGTTCACTTAACAACCATGATGTTCACTTAATGGGCACATATTTACTTAACAACCATAGTAATTCACTTCAAGGCTGCCACAAAAAAGTCATAAAATTGGGCCAGGCTCCATTACAGTTGTAAATCAAGGGCTACCTGTAATCTCCTGATAAAAATTACACTTTTCGTTTTATTTCAATAGGTTTAGCTTATATCAGAGTGACTACCGGTGGAACTGATCAAGAAAGATGCTGCAGCTCTCTGACACAAGCTAATTATGTGCTATTTTCTTGCCAAATAAACAACTCTAAAATGCCACAGAAGAGCAGCATTGAGCTATTTAGGATTTAAAACTTAACATATGCCTGCCATTCATACAATTAAACACCTGGACAAGGTCATGTATCAGATACTTCTGTATAATGTCATATTTATTATCACATTTTGTCCATCTTCTTTTCAAAAAGCTTAGTGCATGGGATTTTATGATAATAAAATGGAAAGAGAAGCAGATAGATTCCCCTAATTATGTCAGTGTAACAAATGGCTCTGCCTCCTGATTTGAATTGTGCTTATTTGCACCATCAGACATTGAATTACTGATAAATTATTCCAATGAACACTGAAAAGAAAATTGTTGGGTACAGAAGATCCGAAATCCATGCCCAACTGTGGTGAGCAGATTATCTATTTTTTAGAAAGTGGAGCTGTTACACAAGAACATAAAGAAAGCTGCTAAAAACACACAGGGTTGGATCTAATAATGTTACTAGACTTTATGATATAAAATTAATGTCAAAACATGCAAACAAAAGCAGGAAAATATCTTTATATTTGGGACAGTATAAGACGATGTAACACAGAGCTTTTGGTCCAGTGCCTAATTTATTAGACCTAAGAAGATAAAGCATTTCGGGTAGAATCTTAAAGCATAAGCTAATCTTAGAATCTTAAAGCATAAGCTAATAAAAGATTGAAGACAGGTAAAACAAATGAGGAATAAGGTCAATTAGGAGAGGCTTAGTTATTACCATTTTCTGTGTTCATCTTTCATAATGTAGCTTTATTATTTCCTATTTTTCTTGTAAGCTGCAACCGAAAAAAAAAATGAAGAAAAGCCTCTAAAAGTCCAAAGTCATTTTGAAGAAACAAGCTCAAACACCTTGGAGAGATTTTGTTTTGCCGATATACTTTTGTCTCAGTCAGAATCCCTTTTGCCTGCCAAATACTGAGTCATCACAGCCAGTTCTCATAAGAAAAATCTCTTTATATTCAGTCCACGTGATTTTTCATATAGTTAATCAAATGTCTCTTTTGTTCAGTTTTCCCATGCATCACTTTTCCCATCCATTTACAACACTGCAACTTTTCCTAGCAAATGCCTTTAGTAGGTGGTCTTTCCTAGGGTGCACATTTTGGTATTGAGAAAACTGGTATTGCAAAATTTGGAGATGTGCTCTGCCTGAAGGGTCACTAACTTATTTAGTCACACTTAGAAGTGCAAGTATTCCTCCAGTTACAACCGCAACTGAGCCCCAAATTTATGTTGCTAAGTGAAACATTTGTTAAGTGAGTTTTGCCCCACTTTACAACTTTTCCTGCCACAGTTGTTAAGTGAATCATTGCATTTACTAAGGTACTAATATGATTGTTAAGTGAATCTGGATTCCCTTTGCTTGCCAGAAGGTCTCAAAAGATAATCACGTGACCCCAAAGCACTGCAACCATCATAAATATGAACCAATTGCCAAGCATCTGGTCGTAAGTGTGAAAAACGGTCACAAGACGCTTTTTTCAATGCCGTTTGAACGGTCATTAAATGAACTGTTTGTAAGTTGAGGATTATCTGTACAAATTGTTTAGTTTAAAATGCTAACCATATTTTATTTTATTGTAATGCATCTGGATTAGGCAATGTGTAGGATACTGCAACAAAATGATGCATTGTGGGAACCTCACATTAGAAATGTTCCCTTCCCTAAATAATAGCATTTCCATTTCACTAGGAAGCAAAGTCTTGATTGGGCTGTTTTGCAGTCCTCTACTTTTCAAGTGGCATCTGCATAGGTGTTCTGAATTTCTGCAACCCTTACAGTTCCCCAAGTCTGTAACTGCTTTGTTGTTGTTGTTTTCTATGTATTGCTGAGGGCTGGCTTTTGTTTAGAGTAGACATTGGGCAGCAGGCTCGTTGTTTGCAGCCAAGAGTATTTTAGCTGATGTATCTACCAACCATTCTTGGCCCATAAAAATCCCACATTCTCCATATGCAAATATCCAATCACTAAAGAATCCATTAGAGATCAGTTTGTGGCTTTTGAGAAGTACTAGAGTCTAGAAATCAATCTAAGCACATTCAGAGCACTTAACAACCAACAGGTTGTTAACCCATTATCAATTTCTCAGAAGGAATCCTAAAAGATGTAGATTCATTGAAAGGTGAAGAGACTTCTTAGAGTTATTCAATATTAAACAGGACCTTAACTGATGTTCGGTAACTAGCATACATTCTCTGAAATATATTAGTAAGTTTGTTTTATTCTCCTTTTTCTTGAAACTCATTATCCTATTACCTTTTTCATGTTAGTAATTCAACATGCTTCCTCTTATTGACCAATTTTTCCTTAGGGTCCTCTCATTTCAGGAGAAAGGTACTTAGTTTAACATCTTACTAATTATTCCTTCCTTTCCTTGACCATCTGTTTTCTTTTTTGGTAGAAGTCAAGTGAGCTTCCCAGCAGGGTTCCTCTGCCAAGCTTGTCTAATGATTTCTTACTATCCTGGTTCAAACATTATCCTGAATAGTTATTAATAATTAAATAATAATGAGAAAATCACAAAATACGTAGTCCTGCAAATAGAAGTAGAACGACTATGACAAAAGAAAGCATTTATTTAGCGTGTGGCATACAATGTCAGGGAAATCTACACAATGCTGGACGCACTGCAGTCCTGACAGCCTAAATTGCTAGTTCATTCTGTTCAGCGCTTGTGTGCCTATCCTTACTGTTCTGCAGGGACATACCAGTTTATACTTTATTCCAGTTAACTAGCGGCGCTCAGGATGCTGGCTTCTTCTGGGCTTCTTCACCTTGTGTCGCAATGCCTCACATCCGGCCTGGTCCAGTGCCAGCTTCCGCTGTCCCCACACACGAACACAGCTAGGTTTTTCTCCCACTGAAGTATCTACTTGTAATGTTGCTTGCTTTTGAACCACTGGGGGAGGGGGCAGGAGCTCGGGATCAAGCAACAGGTATTCACTCCTTCTCACGGAGCCAGGTTTGAACCACCCGTGCACAGACCATTTCTGGCCATCAGTTCCAGTGTCATTGCAAAGATAGTACCAATAAGGATAGGTTTCTGGATGCAATCCCAAAACGACTGGAGCACAACATAAACATCATCAGCATGAACAAAATCATCATCAGTCAATTGCAGAAGACAGCTGTACTTGAAACAGCTTACATCTTGCAATGATGCATTTAACACCATCAAACAACAACATCTGCTTATCCCAGGTTTTTGAAGGACTCAATAGATAGATAAAAATGCCAAATTCAGTCTAATCAATTGGCTGTGTGACCAACCATAATTGATTATTATGAAGTTTGTTTTGAACTCAGCAAGCTGTGTGAAAGGTTAGTGCTTAAGGACTGGAGACCAATTTGCTCTGTATGCAAGAGATTTTTTTTATATAACTTTGATTTTACATTTTATAGATTTCCTTTATTAGTCATTGGATTTGCCACATCTCCAGGCTCAGAGGTAATATGGAAATAAACACAAATGGGGAGTGTCCTTAAGCCACCCCATGTAACATTTGAGCTTCTGAGTATTTAGGAAAATTCAAACACTACCAGTTGAAGAAATGGAACAATGGGGTTCTCAGTTTCGCATAGCCCCAGATAGCTACATCTTAGTGCTCTTTTCTAGAGTTAAAAGTACATCCCTGGGCAATGCTAGATCTAATTTGGATGTATTTCCAGAGCAGCAAAACAAAGAAGCCTTTCCCCTCAACCTGGTCTCTGTCTTTCCACCAGGCATTTTAAAATGTTATCTCCTACTGACAGCTGCATTCTTTCGTTGAAAGCTTGTATGACATTTGAAGGAAAGACCTGTCATGGGAGCAATTGCTTTTGGTGGAGGGTGGGAGATGACAGATTTGGAATCTCATCTAAGAAGGCTGCCAGAGAAATGTCTGCAGACAGCTTTTTCAATCATCCATTTTAATAGCACTAATGCTCACTGTCCTTTAAACCCTTATTCCCTGTTCACCTAGATAAGCTCTGGAGCTGAGAATTGTGCTGATTCATAAGAACTCATGGAGGGACAAAGAGTTATTATTATATAGTTATTAGTATCTGGTACTGGCAGCAATGAAACACGTCTTCACTTTATTTCATTTCATAGCATTTTAGGCCACTGTTTTGCGGGATTTATATACTTATTATACAAAAAGCTGCCAGAAAAACCTGTCAACATTTTAATTTAAATCATAAAATTATTTTAAATGTAACTGAAGGCCACCCAACATGCATAGGTAGATGTTAAATGTCTTTTAGAAATGTCTTTCAATGCCTTGCTGAATACTAGAAGAATAGGGTCAAGTCCTTTTTTCCCCTTTTGAAGCTCCATTTCCAGTCCTCTGGCATTTTCTCAGTATTCCACAGTGGTTCCAAGATCACATCTGTCAGCTCCTTTAGAACTCTGGGATGTAATACATCTGATCCTGATGATTTGAACTTGGCTAGAGTGGCTAGATGTTCTGTTATCATTTTTCTTGCCTACTTGGACTTATATTCCAAGTCTGTCTTCTACTATAATGCTTTTGAAAGGTTGGTCTGTTTTTTCCTTTTGTGTAAAAACAGATGCAAAGAATTAATTAAGCAGTTCTGCTTTCTCCCTCACCTCCTTGCCATCTTCTCTCATTGGTGGACCAATTGTTTCCTTGACTTTTTTTCTTGTCTTTTACATGTTGAAAGAAAATTTTATTATTATTTTTGGCATTTGTTGGAAGTCTTAGTTGATTCTGAACTTTAGCTTTCCTGACTTCATCCTTACAGATTAGGGCTATTTGCTGGTATTCTGTTCTAGTTATGCGTCCCTCTGTCCCTCTTTTATGCTTGTCCTTTTTGTCTCAGTTTACCAGAGAGTTCTTTAGGCAACTATGCTGATTTCATCTAAGGTCTCTTGTTTTTCTTTCTTAATGGTATTGTGTTAGACTGAGCTTTTATAATCTCATTTTTCAGAGTTTCCCAAGCATCTTGAGTTGTTTTCCCCTTTAAGATTTCCATTCATGGAATCCTTCCTAAGCTTTGTCTAAGTTTGTTGAAGTTAGTTTTCTTTAAATCTAAGACACTTGCTGTCACAAATGCCATTGCAGCCATTGTGGATTATGTTTGCAGCATTCCCACAATCTGTGTTTAGACTATCAGCAATTTCCTTCAGAATCCTAGAAAGCATTTCCTCTAATATTCTTTATATTACCTGTTATGTCCTGGGCTGTGATTGACACAGCAGGTGCAGGAAGCTGCAGAGAGACCCGGGCAGACCACGTGGCTGCCCGGGCCAGACAGGCTGTCTCCAGCCTATTGCGCATGCGCAAGGTGGGAAAGATACGTTGCATTGATTGGTTGATGCTACTCCCTGCAAGGGGGTATAAAAGGGATCCGTGCCATTTTGTGTTGTTCTGTTGGAGATTAAATAAAGAAGCAACTGTTGTTACTCCTGCCTCGTCTCAGTGACTTACCAACGTACAGAACAGAACATTATCTATCTCAAGCTTCACTCCTGGTCCATCCGAATGGGACCATACAGCAGTTTTCATTGTTGTTGTTTGGAATATATGTTTTCCCATTGGAAAAGACAGAACCAAAATAAGAGTTGAGTAGTTCTATTTTATTTCTTATCTGTTAGCATCTTACATCCTAAATAAGCAGCTGACATACTGATTCTTTCTTCTGATCATATCTGAGGACACTTTTGTTTTTTGTTAATATTGTTCACCAATCTCAGCTCATTCTGACCCTAACCAGTCTAACGTCATCATTACAATTCTGGTTTGTATGATTTTCCTCAGTGATAAATTCCAGTATGAACTTCCTGTACATATTCTTTTTATATAAATAAATAAGGGCGACATTAATGGCACACAAATAGTATGTCAGCCATATATGAGAAACATTGTAAGCTTATAATAGCACCATCTGCCATTTTGGCTCTTCTTTGAGATCTCTTTAGGGAAAGAGATTAAAAAATTAAATCTTATTCTAATTAATTCTTGGCATAAGAATAATACTAGAAGGAAAAAGGAAGTAGAATTGAGGAAGTAGAGTTTCAAACAACTCTGGATTTCATTTCGCTCAAAAGTTATGGACTAAATAATTTACAGTTGTAGATTGTACAATTATATAGCCTAAATGAAGATACTGTGATTTTTTTTTCTAGGACACAGATCAATTTCACAGTGGCCATTGATTTCACAGCTTCCAATGGTAAGTTTTGATCTATTCTTTGTTGTTAGTATGCTATATCTTTAATGTGTTATTTGCTTATACAATTTACCAGTGTTTAAAAATAAAATTGGATCATTATACTTTTATTAAAGTCATTAAATCTTAACCCTGAGCATATTGTATAAAAGTGCCTATTATGTTCAGTGGTAGCTTTCCCCTGGAAGCTGCCATTCATTAGATCATAACCTAAGGGGATTCTTTTTTAATTCTGAGCTTTGTAACATAAGGTCAGATTGCATTGCCTGCCCTGTAAATGTGGATGGCATCTTATCACCAAATTCAATATCAAATGATAAAGCAAAATATTTCATTCTGGAAACAAGCTTCAGCTAGGAACCATGGAAAGGTGTGATGAGATAATAAAGAAAAAGGCAAAATTAGCTTCTCTCATCACTTTTTGCTTTAAAAATCAGCCTCAATTCACTTTAGACAGGAATGTGGTCTCCTGTTGTATTGATCTTTGTGAACTGGTTTCAGGGACAAAATTAGAAGAGGTGAGCAAGACTGGTGATGCATATACGAATGTAAAAGGTGCGAATATGTGCCTTAGAAAATCATTGCCAAGAACTTCCCTTATTTTAGCTGCATAAACAAGCTAATGCTCTCTTTTGTACATGCACACAATGCACGTCTGCTTATACTTGTAGATAAGATCTCTGAATTCTTAAGCAGATTCAAGAGTATTTCAATATAGCAAGATAAGACTTATTATGCCACCTGCTGTCTCTTTCATGAAATTTCATTAGATGTCCAGATACAGGTAGTCCCCAATTTACGACCACAATGGAGCCCAAAATGTATGTTGCTAAGTGAGACATTTGTTAAGTGAGTTTTGCCCCATTTTATGATCTTTCTTGCCACCATTGTTAAGTGAATCATTGCTGCTGTTAAGTTAGTAACACAGTGACTTTGCTTGTCAGAAGGTTGCAGAAGGTGATCCCATGATGATCACATGACCCGGAGACAGTGCAACCATCATAAATATGAACCAGGTGCCAAGCATCCAAATTGTGATCAAGTGTCCATGGGGATGCTGCAACGGTCATAAGTGAGAAAAATGGTCATAAGTCACCTTTTTCAGTGAGATTGTAACTTTGAACAGTCACTAAATGAACTATTGTAAGTCTAGAACTACCTGTACAGTAATGACAATTACTACCTCTTCTAACTTGTAGGCCTTATATATCTTCCTGTGCTTCTATTATCTTTTTTTTCCTTGCCATAGAAAGTTAGCAATATAAAAACAATAGAATAACTGCACTGTATAGATTTTACTTGGCATTGTCTAAAGGCAACTCTGAACATAACTGCAGATTACTGTAGAGATTGTATGACAATTCAAGTATATAAGGTATGTATAATTGGCTTGATGTGTTTTAATTGTTTAGAGCAGTGGTGGCGAACCTATGGCACGCGTGCCAGAGTTGGCACTCGGAGCCCTCTCTGTGGGCACACGCACTGTTGTCCCAGCCCCGCCTCCTCCCACGGCCCCCTCCCTGCCAGCAACCCCCCTGGAGGAGAGTCACTCCTGGGCGCGGCCCATGCAAAGCAGCACAGCCAAGGACATGGTAGCCGGGCAGCAGGACAAGACTCCACCCTTGCGCCCCATCGCACGCAGATGATGCTGTGGGGCACGGGCGGAGGGCATGGCCACCATGGCGCTGCTGGGCTGCCTGGGTGATCTGTGGCAGGCCATGGAGGTGATGGGTGGCCCAGTGGGCAGGGCGGAGCGGGGACGGGAGTTGGGGGGCCAGTTTTTGGGCACTCAGTCTCTAAAAGGTTCGCCATCACTGGTTTAGAGCATTTGTATATGGCCCTGCATAATGTTGAGCAGGTATAGTAGAGCAATACAAATGAATAACAAATTCAATACTAATTCAAATAGCAATGCAAATTCCAATTTCTGTATTTAAAATATAACATCCTTTCAGTACTTCAAATACCAACCACTGAAGTGCTTGAGAGGATGAAAATGTCACGACTGCCAGTTCTGAAAGATAATGTAGCATCGGGTGAAGCTCCTCACGGAGAGGTTCCCAATTACAGTATTCCAGATAAGGGTTTTGTTTTGTTTTTTTTACTTTAAGCAAACTTCATCAATGCAACTGGCTCCCAGGCAGTGAATTCACTTCTGTTCCTTCTCCTTCTCCCTCCTTTGGATTCTTCCTCTTTCTCTCTCTATTTTCTGCAGGCAATCCTTCTCAGTCTACCTCCCTTCATTACATGAATCCATACCAGCTCAATGCATACGCCATGGCACTGAAGGCTGTTGGGGAGATCATCCAGGACTATGACAGTGATAAAATGTTCCCAGCGCTTGGGTTTGGAGCCAAGATTCCCCCCGACGGGCATGTGTCTCATGAGTTCCCTTTGGTACTGACACTTCCCTTTGAATCACACCAGCATTCAAAAACAGCTCCCGGGGGACGCTTTGTTTCAGATCAGATCAAGTGCCAGACTGAGGAGTCCAATGTGTCACATTCTGAGATGCCTTTTCTGGAGAGAGCAAAATGCCATATAATCCTGTTGGCAGAGAATTTGTTTCATTGACAGTAGACTCAATGGATCTTTTAAGCTGCAATTCTAATCACACTGACTAGGGAATAAGCCCCCTTTTCTACCCTGTTTATTTCTCCTTGCTCCTGGATAAAATGAATAGGCTGGCTGGTACTGTGTAGTCCTGCTTTCCTTGGCCATGGCCTGACTTTTCAAGGAGCATGGAATTTATTTACAAAAAGCCCTATGGACCCCCAGATCTTCCTCACTACATTTTTTAGCAAGCTCAGCTAAGTACTATAGCAGCATCTGGAAGTCAAAGATTGCCTACTCCCGAGTTATAAGCCTTGAGGATTATAATAACAAAAGAAGCAATGTTATCTGGGGCCCTTTTAAATGTTGACCTATCTGTAAAATCAGCAGGAACCCTCAACCCAAGAAAAAATGTCTTCACTACCATTGCTATCCCTTTAAACCTCTGAGAGGCAGCTTCAGTTGCATCTGCTTAATCTGTACTTCCAACAAGGAGGGTGTCCTTCATAATAAATCTAAGGATGCATGCATTACTTAGAGATAGCTAGCAGTAGTTTTGTCTTTTCATATTCCACATGTAAAAATGCATGCATGTTGTGTGATCTAATGTGCAGGGAGAGAGATAAGATACATGTGGCAAGAAATACAGCCAGTCATAAATCAAAACTGCCCTAGAGAACCACAAAGATAAAGCTCCTAATCTGTCTCAGTAAAATCCTGATCTGGAGCAGTCATATGCTCTTTCTTTAAGAAGGAAGCCAAGCTGCTCGACTGTTTTAACGTAAGTTTTATAACTGGGTCTTTTAAAAAAAAACTGTTATTCATAGGTAACCATCCTCCTGCCTATTATTTTTCACTTTGTTGTGGCACATTATTAGATGAAAGGGTGTTTAGAGACAGATGGAAGGATTCAAGCAGCCGAAGGAAGATTGTTAAGATGCAGTCACTGCTGGAGATTGCCTTTAGTTGTGTCTCCATTTTTCTGTTGCAGAATGGCAACGGTGACAATCCTCACTGTAGTGGAATAGAAGGAATCCTTGAAGCCTATCACCAGAGTCTCAAGACTGTGCAGCTCTATGGCCCAACTAACTTTGCACCAGTGGTTAACCACGTCGCTGGGTAGGTTCATACAAGTATAAAGTACTTTATAAAGCATGACTTTGAAAGCTTCTTGCCATAAAGCAGGCACACAAATTTTTGTTTTTACAAGCCAGAAATCCCATAAACTGACAGTTTCAATGGATTTGCATGTTGTATTTATTAGGATTGCAATACAGAAGGGAACATATCCCATATTCATATTCACAAAAAAAGGAAAACAACTCTGAATTGGAGGTGGTCATAGATGCACATGTACACTTATGGGAAGCTAATCTGCATTCCCCAAAACAATTGGGACATATGAAGGCTCACAACATCAAGATAGGCAGTCTGATAGGCAAGAGAATTAACTATGACCAGGGTAGGTATCATTGTCCTTCCTTTTCAGTTTGACATCTCATCTGCTCCTAAAGAAAGACCAAGTCAAACATGCCCACTCATACCAGTTGTTTCCCCATTTTCATCTAACAAGCCCATGATTGTCTTGGGATACATAAGTTATATGGACTGTCCCCCCAGGGTATGTAGGGCTGAAATCACCCATGAAATCTGGGGAACTCCCAACACCAATCCTAAGACAACACCCAGGAATTAATAGAGGGTTGGTGCTTAGATGGACTGTGTACATCAGCAACCCAAGCTTGTTTTTACTACTTAATTCCACACAAAGACACTTGCAATCTAACTATATCCAAATGCTCTTCATCAATGCGAGCATTTCACATACTATCACATCTGCACCCCACTTTTCCCCTGCCTATCGAAGTCCTAGTCTATTTCGCACTGCATTATCCTAGAAGCAAAGAACATTCCCTTCCTTATATCCATCCTAATATGCCACAAGCCCATCCCTCAACTTCAACGCATTACCCATACACTTCACATAAGCAAATCCCTCTCATAATACCCAGAATCCTACAGATCCTCCTGACTTGTACAGTTACAAGTAAAAGTGCAATGAACACCTTTTTTTGAGAAATGAATTGTTTCCACTAATGCTTGTAGGATTACAATTTGATGCAGTTAACTTCACCATTTGTGTTCAGAGGTCCACTAGGAAACTATATCTTATCGTATTCAATATTATTTCCTCCCAACTCAGATATGCTTCAGCTGTGCAGGATGGCTCCCAGTATTTCATTTTGCTCATCATCACGGATGGTGTGATATCAGACATGGCTCAGACAAAAGAAGCAATTGTCAATGTGAGTAACTCACGTGGGGAGTGTAGCAGTCTGATTTCAGCTTTGTCAAATGACAGACATATTCTTATATGTGCTGGGTAGGGTGGGAAAAAAGGGCTTCAGTTCTGCAGCATAGCATATTAGTAAGCTGAGTGCCTGGAATTTACTGCAGGCCACAGTAAGAGGTATAATCTTGCAGCCGTAGCATATTCCTGTTTTTCCTATTGTAAATCTACTGAATGTTCCCTAACAGGAATCATAGGCGCTGCCTCTTTTACTAAATATGGGAAACCCTGAGGAAGCACAGAGGCAGGAAAGGCATTTGTTGGGAATGCTTTCATTTGAATTCCTGTATTGAGCAAGGCTTGGACTCAGGGTACTAAACGGCCCTTTCCAATTTTGTCATTTTGTGTCTATATTCTTTTTCCCAGGCAACTGGTTTTTGGTTCCTATTATTAATACAGCATTTCCAATCAGATTCAGAATCAGTGGTATTCACAAGAAGGGGCAAAGTAGGCCACTCTGACAAAAGCAGCATTGTGGTATCATAGCCTTTCCCCTTTCTTACATGTGTTGTGATGTTACACAGGCCCCAAAGAGATCGAGCTTGTCTCTTTCTTTATTCTAACAAAAGCAACAAGATTCTCCTGAGGCCACTGCTTATAATTCATATGCCTCACTCATACATAATGCAAGAAAGAAACCAGGGTTTACAAGCCAAAATGGATGGACATCGAACTAAGTCCATACTCAATGCATTAGCTCTTAAATATTGAGTGCATTGTGCCATGAAGTGCTCGGTGCATTACATGATTGTATTGGTAATCCTTTCACCAGGAGGGGAAAATCTGTAGCCCTCCAGATGATGCTCAGCTACAACCTCCACCTTTGTGGCCATGCTAGCTGAGGCTGCTGTTCAACGAAGGCTGGAAGCCCACAGATTCCCCACACTTTATTTTACCAAGTATTTAGCCTCATCTAATCCATGGGGTGCCAAAGCAGATAAACAGCAGTCAGCCTTAAATCATACAGCAAGAGAAAAAGAAAAAGGCCTGCCAGCATTCCTTTTGAGGACTGCATCATGGAGAAGGTCTAAACACACAGCCCCTCTTTTTTTATTATTTTGGTTGGGGTTTGGATCAGTTTTAGGAGGTTCAGCCAAGTAGGGAGTGTAAGCAAACGTTTAAAGCAGGGGTAGGCAACCTTGGCTCTTTTATGACTCGTGGACTTCAACTCCCAGAATTCCTGAGCAAGCCACGCTGAGGGGAAAGGGAAAGGTTTCCAAGCTGAGCCATGCTGGCTCAGGAATTCTGGGAGTTGAAGTCCACGAGTCATAAAAGAGCCAAGGTTGCCTACCCCTGGTTTAAAGCATTCTTTTCACTCTTTCTGTTATGTCCCGAGCCTTGCAAACGGCTCGGGCGTTTGCAGGCAGTCCCGGGCAGGTGCAAAGCTGCCCGGGACCAGACAGGCTGTCGCCAGCGCCGTGCGCATGCACGGGTGCTGGCGCGGGAAAAGTAACCCATTTACCCGGGAGTTGCCTATATAAGAGGCTGCGAGGCGTTTGGGCGAGGCTGAAGCCATCTTCATGTAAGCTGAACGCTGAATAAAAGAACCTGAGAACTCCAGCTGTTTCTCGTGTCTGTTTTCCCGCCAAGGACGCAACACTGGCGACGAAGGTGGGATGCCTTGCACTACCTGGAAAGGAAAAAGTGTAAGCTTACCCAAGGAGTCCTGAGCGGCGGAAGAGGAACGGTGTTGACTCAGCAGCTGCCCGCCAATCCAGTGCGCATTCGGGGGTAGGCTGGCTGATAGACCCGTCTCCTGAAGATCCGAAGATGGCGAAAATCGGAAGGCTTGCGGAATTCGACGTCTCACATCCAGAGCGGTGGGAGTCCTACGTATCCAGAATGGAGAACTACTTCAAGGCAAACCAAGTGAGGGAAGATAGCTTGAAGGCTGCCACCCTGCTTTGCGCTTGCGGCCAAGACGCCTTCGAAATCGCAGAAAACCTTGCAGCACCTGTTCCAGTAGAGTCTGTAAGCTACGCAGACCTGAAGAAGCTGCTGAAGGACCACTTCCACCCCAAGGTGTCCGTTATCTCATGGCGCCACACCTTCGAGCAGAGGGATCAACGGTCCGGGGAGTCAGCCAAGGAGTACATCGCCGCGTTACGGAAGGCCGCCAAGCCCTGCGAGTTCAAGGACCTCGAGGAACGACTGAGGGACCGATTCGTGTGCGGGTTGAGGCATCGAGAGCTACAACAGAGACTTTTCGCTAAGGAAGAATTATCCTTCCAAGACGCTTTAAGGGAAGCCACCGCGGAAGAAGCAGCAGGCGGCGCCGTCAAGAACATGCGGCCGATCAGAAGCAGTGCAGAGGGTGCGTCCGTGCACCAAGAAGACGTCCGACGAAACTCCGAGGAGGATCCGGACGAAGAAGTCGACCGTCTACACCCCGCGAAGGGAGAAAATCAGAAGGAAAGCTCTTCAGCTCCGCTCAAGTGCATCGGCTGTGGAGGTCGCCACAGGAGAACCGACTGCAAGTTCCGCTCCGCTACCTGCCGGGCATGCGGCAAACAAGGGCACATTGCAGCTGTGTGTCTGGGCCGACGAAAGGCACAACCTCAAGAAGAACGCCTGAAGGGTACCAGAGTCCCCAGCCAGAATAGGGTAGGTTTTTGCGCTTCGCGTAGAAACATTTGTAGGACAGGCACACACAAGCCCATGAAGAAAAAGCTGTCACTCAACGTGAAGCTACAAGGGGTTCCATTATCTATGGAACTAGACACAGGGTCCGCCCTTTCCATCATTTCATTGCATACATTTAGGAAGATTTGTTCCAGTAGTGGGACTAAGGCCAAGTTAAGGCCTTCTGATATTGTATTAACTGATTTTCAGAACTCAAGAGTGTGTGTTAAGGGGGAGGCCACCCTTAACGTGCAATACAAGAGTTTTGAAGGTCCACTAGACTTGTTAGTAGTAGGGGGTGAAAGAACGAGTCTCATAGGACTCGATTGGTTTGAGGCCCTGGGGATACACGTCACAGGACTCAACAGCTTACAAACACTCGACCTACAGGAAGTCTGCAAGGAATTTGCAGATGTTTTCAGCCCCCAGCTGGGCACATTCAAAGGACCACCTGTGTCCTTAAAGCTAGACCCCACTGTCACTCCCATTAGGATTAAAGCAAGAAGGGTCCCTTTTGCTTTAAAAAGTAAGATTGACACTGAATTAGACAAACTAATCCAACAAGGAATCCTAGAACCTGTTGATTCCAGCCCATGGGAGACCCCCATTGTCACGCCTCTAAAGGCAAATGGGGACATTCGCATTTGTGCTGATTACAAATGCACACTCAATAAGGCATTGCAGCAACATGCCTATCCTGTTCCTGTGGTCAGTCACATCCTGGCCTCTCTCAAGGGGGGGCGTGTTTTTGCAAAGCTTGACCTAGCTCAAGCATATCAACAGCTGCCTGTTGATAATGATGCTGCCATAGCTCAGACTATTGTGACCCACAGGGGAGCCTTTAAGGTAAAAAGGCTGCAGTTTGGAGTGAATGTCGCTCCTGGGATTTTCCAAAGCGTAATGGAAAACACACTACGAGGTATACCAGGGGTCTGCCCCTACTTTGACGATGTCTTGATTGCAGGAGACTCCACACACATTCTAGCTGAAAGGCTTAGGGCTGTCCTGTTAAGATTCAGGAAATCAGGCCTTAAGCTCAGAAAAGACAAATGCAAGATTGGGGTGCCTTCTACTGAATTTCTGGGATTCAAAATTGATGCTGCTGGGATTCATCCTGCTGAATCCAAACTAACTGCTATTTTAGAAGCACCCAGGCCAAAGTCTAAGGCCGAACTTCAGGCCTTCTTAGGCCTCCTGAATTTCTACAATTCTTTTCTTCCACATAAAGCTAGTGTAGCTGAGCCTCTTCACAGGCTACTAGACAAACAAGCTGTGTGGCTGTGGTCACAAGCACATGAGGCTTGCTTTAAAGAAGTCAAGGCCTTGCTCACTTCTAACAGTGTTCTTGCACATTTCAACGAGTCTCTTCCTGTGTGCATCGCTTGTGATGCATCCCCCTACGGGGTTGGAGCTGTCCTGAGTCACCTCAGGTCTGATGGAACTCAGGTTCCTATTGCATACTACTCCAGAACATTGTCTTCTGCCGAGCGCAACTACGCTCAGATAGACAGGGAGGCTCTGGCTGTTGTTGCTGGAATTAAAAAATTCCACGATTTTCTATATGGCAGGCATTTCACGGTCTTCACTGACCATAAGCCTCTGCTGGGACTGTTTACCACACGTAAGCAGACTCCCCACATCATTTCCCCTAGAATGCTTAGGTGGTCTATTTTTTTGTCTGCATATGATTTTTCATTACTCCACAAGCCTGGGAAAGAAATGGGCCATGCTGATGGCCTCAGTAGGTTGCCTCTGCCAGTAGTAGAAGCTGACCCCGCGCCAGCTGTCAACATTCTATCAATCCAAGCCTTGCCCGAGCTTCCTCTTAGTGCCAGGGATGTTACCGCTGAAACAGGTACAGATCACACACTTTCACGTGTCCGCTCCTGGGTCCTGTCCGGGTGGCCTGAGCACTGCCCTAGTCCTGAGTTTCAGAGTTTCTGGTCCAAAAGGAACGAATTGTCCCTTTCTCAGGGTTGTTTGCTTTGGGGAAACAGAGTTGTCATTCCCACCTCAATGAGGACTAGGGTCTTAGAATCCCTCCACGAGGGTCATCCTGGCATTGTTCGTATGAAGGCTCTTGCACGCAGCCACTTGTGGTGGCCTGCTTTAGATAAAGATATTGAGGCTAAGGTACACGCATGCCACATGTGCCAACGATCTCGCCCAGAGATGCCCCAAGCTCCTGTGCATAAATGGGAGGAAACACAGTCCCCATGGTCTAGGGTGCACATTGACTACGCTGGGCCCTTTCAGGGCCAGTTCTTCTTGGTCCTTGTTGACAGCCATTCAAAATGGCTTGAGGTTGTGCCTGTCTCGTCCACCACCACTGCAAAGACTATTCAGGTACTGAGGGGGATTTTTGCTGCACACGGGCTGCCAGATGTCATTGTGTCTGACAACGGCCCTCAATTCACCTCCTCCGAATTCCAAGCTTTCTTACAGGCAAACCTGATTCGTCATGCCACATCTGCGCCTTTTCACCCATCCACCAACGGTATGGCTGAACGCATGGTGCGCATCGCAAAGGACGCCTTGAAGAGACTCACCTACGGGGACTGGCATCACAGGTTGGCTGACTTTCTCCTTTCTTATCGCACCACACCGTCCACTTCTACAGGGAGAAGTCCAGCTGAACTTCGTTGGGGGCGCCAACTTACTACTAGACTTGACCGGTTGCATCCGGACAGACTGCCTTCATCTACCTCACATCCTAGGGCACCTAGACAACTACTTGTGGGTGCCCCGGTTTGGGCTCGCAATTACGGGCCTGGTCATACATGGGTCCCCGCTTCTGTGTCCAGGATCACAGGTCCTCTCTCCTACGAGGTTGCCCTGGACAACGGTCGTGTCCTGCGTCGGCACATCGACCAACTCCGCTCTAGGCGGGACTTTTCTGCTGAAACTCCTGGGTCTTTTCCAGGGGGGGAGGGGGACCCTTTGGAGCAAAGGGAAGGGCAAGAGCTACTGCCCATCGCCACTGAGGGAGCCACAAACGGCTCGTCCCAGGTTCTGCAATTGCTCCGAAAAGGAAGTCTTGGAGCTTACCCACACAACAGGCACTCACGCCTACTCCAGCAACGGAGGATACCCGGGGGCATCCCAACAAATCATTCCCCGCAAGAGAGCTGGCACACAATGCCCAAGGTTGGCCTGACCTTACCCCAAATCCTACAGGGGGTCAAACATACACAGAGCTAGTCGAGGAACCAAGTCCCGACTACAACACCCCTAGCACAAATCAGGGGACACCTGAGTTTTGGGAGAGTACAGAAACCCACACGAGCCCAAACACAGAATGGGGTTCAGGGAATAGACAGCCTCCTGACAGGTCTTGGACTGACCTAGGGGGTTCTACAGAGACGCCCAGCAGTGGCTATCACTTCAAGGGGCCTGAGGGTCTACAGCTAGGTAGGACAACCAGGTCACAAAGCAACAGAAGCCCTGGCCTGACGAGCCCGGTGGGCAAGCAAGCAGGCCAGGCATCGGGGCACAGTCCTTGGAAGACACCAGGGCACAGTAGAGAGAACAGGCTCATGCCTCCCTCCAGTCAGGGGACTTATGCCAGTAACCCAGAGCTAAGAAGGTCACAGAGAGCAAAGAAATCTCCTAAGTACCTAGAAGATTACATAACATTGTTGGCAAGACAGAAGCCAGTAAACAGTGGGAACACTGGGGAGCAAATTGTCGTGTAAAATAAATGTTGTATGTTGATAGTAGTTTTAGCCCGGGGGAAAGGGGTGTTATGTCCCGAGCCTTGCAAACGGCTCGGGCGTTTGCAGGCAGTCCCGGGCAGGTGCAAAGCTGCCCGGGACCAGACAGGCTGTCGCCAGCGCCGTGCGCATGCGCGGGTGCTGGCGCGGGAAAAGTAACCCATTTACCCGGGAGTTGCCTATATAAGAGGCTGTGAGGCGTTTGGGCTGAGCTGAAGCCATCTTCATGTAAGCTGAACGCTGAATAAAAGAACCTGAGAACTCCAGCTGTTTCTCGTGTCTGCTTTCCCGCCAAGGACGCAACACTTTCAAACCACCTCACCCCAAATGTATCCTGGCCCTGCCCAGGATGTGGGCCTCAGTGTGCTGTGGAACAAATGAAAGAGGTCACTGCAGGCTTTTTCCACAAATAATGGGAAGGAAGAAAAAAAATCACTTGCCCGAAGCTACTCTTCCCATGGCTCCAATGAACCTTGAACTCAGGTTTCCCAGAGGGGATTTGAAGATCATCTGGACCGTATAAATAAACGAAGCTTCTGGTTATGCAAGTGTTTGCTTCTGTGCACCATCTGCCCCCACTATTCTGTTTCCAGCCATTAAGACACTGCCATGTGCTCTGTTTTTGATTCCAGTGCTGATGAGTGATGAGTGTGCTCCTGATTAAATTGTTGCTGCAGTCCATTGTTCAACATTGCTAGAGATCTGTTATAGCAAAGAGCACTGATTATTGCCACTTCTGCATTTAACAGCAAAAACAGTCACTGATTGCTGAAGGGGAAGAAAAAGGAGTTAGATAATTTGATAACAGGACAGCGTGTTAAGGACAAGCTCAGGCAGATTAGAGAACACAGTGTATCATTAGAAATCTTTTTTTTTATTCTTTCAATAACTTCCATCTCTTGATTTTTAGTCTTTATTTAATCTTTCTTAATTCTTTGTATTATCTTTTTATCATGCTGTAAGCCACCCAGATGAATTGCATATAGTGAGATGAATGGCATGTAAATTTAATAAATAAATATAAATAAATAAACGTACAGAGGGCTGTGGAGCCAAGCAGTGAAGACATTATGATGAATTGAGTACAGCCAGCAAGTTGACTGCATGAAGGGAGGGAGTGGACTTCTGGATTTATTTAATTCAGCTTTCTCCGTATTATTTTGTAGTTGTCTGTTCTTAATTCATGCTCTTTCTTTGTTTCTTCTTCCCATCTCCATTTTGCATGTCCTCCTCTATTTTTACTTGTTTCCTGCTGGTCCTCAGGCTGCCAGATTTCCAATGTCTATAATAATTGTGGGTGTTGGACAGGCTGAATTTGATGGTAAGAATCTATGTTGTATACCTTGTCTCCAATATGAGATAGGAAATATGAGAATAATAAGGCTATACTAGTCTAATATAAATTCAGTTCTCCACTTAATCAACAGCCATGGGTATTCATTACGGAGGTGGGGCAGGTGACATCATATGCATCATGATATCATTACACAAATGAACAAGTTGGGACTTTTCAATCATTTACATGATGTCATCATGACTTTCTGTAGATGCCTGTAATAGTGGCAATCAGCATTGCAATGCCCATAAACATAGCAAGACAGAAATTGGTTTCACACAACATTAGACTTGACTGCACTTCGTATCTTCATGTGAGCACAGAACTCACTGAATGTCTTTAGGCCAGTTTTATTCTTGATCAACCTATTTTACAAGTCTATTACTGTGAGAATCAGATTATGAGAGTTCCCCATGTATAATCTTTAGTTCCCAGAGAAAAGGTGGAATATAAACACGATAACGTATTAAAACAAACCTTACTTAAATAAACCAATATATAGATTATTGCCAACTCTTTAAGCAGCTTATTCCATTATCAGATCTTTGGGAAAGATATTTTGGGATCTGGAAATATATTACCTCTGTAATGTATGTAATATGCAACATGAATCTTAAATTCTTGCCATCCAATACTTTGATTATGAATATTGAAAATAAAAATTTCTAAATAAATTAGAGCAATTAGCAGATATACATTTCTGTGGTTAAAGATCTGAACAGCCATCCTAGCGTCTTTTAATGAAATATGATTTGTCAAAATATATATACAGCATTTAAGGTAGAGCAGCTGTTAAAATTTGCCATGTATTTGCTTGAGCTTTCAATTAACAACTGTTAAGCCTTATATTGATAGTTATCTGTGCAAGAACTATCATTTGCTGAAAATCTGAATAACACAATTCAACGAGTAAAGTGTAATGACTTAATTATACTTTGCGGAGAAAAATGGGACCTGAATATTGATTGGTTTATTAAGAAAGCAAGTTGCAACATGCAAAAAGAATATTCAGTATATGATTCCAGTTCAACTTTTTGAAAGAAAAGAGTAATGCTATTTTTTACACGTTTTTCCCCCCAGTCATTAATCAATTGTTTGTGGCACAAGCAAATTTTTGGAGCTTTTGCCTCTTCACTGTCTTATTCCCACTGAACTTTTAATAGTTGATAAACATTCATTTCCCCTTCCTCCAATGAACAGCAATGGTGGAATTAGATGGAGATGATGTTCGGATCACATCTCGTGGAAGGACTGCTGAACGTGACATTGTCCAGGTATTTAGAAGAGAACAATATCGCTTTATTGTGCACATTCACTAGCAAAATCTTGAAACCACATGGTTTCTCAGTGAGATTTTTCTAAAATTTTTAGAACATTTAAATCTCAGATTGTGTGTGAGCAACAATAGCCACCTTGCAAGTTGTCTGAACAAAATCTGGCAAGCTCTGAGTAAATAGCTTTCCCCAGCCTACTCAGTCTAATGGACATGGAAACATTCTAGTTTTGGATCACTATGGAAAGAAAACAACTCTCAGGATAAGAGCTGATTGGGAGAGTGTATGTTTACATAGAGAAATTTCCAAGTTTAATACATGATATAAAAGTTGCCTACATGGAACAGTGGAGAGTTGATAGACAAAGATTTGTTGTGGTATAAAGCAGTTCTTGTACTCCTAATTTTTATATACACACAAAGTGGAATTAAACAGAGTTAGATAGCCTTTTGAGACTGAAGCAGATTTTGAATTTGCAAACATGACATGGGAATGCTCACTCAAGGATTATTGTTATAGACATGGCCAGCAACAAAAATACCTTTGTCAAACTAACATTACTGAGTAACTCCCCATTCTTGTATAGCCCCCTAAGTTGTTCTTTCCGAGTCTAGTATTTTAAAGATGATTTAATAATTATGGGGACATTAAGGCCTTGGCCATTATGTTGGCCTTAATAGCATAGCCTGGCCACTTATTTTAATTTATCTAAGATTAGTGAATTCTCTAACAAATTATGTGTCTATTGAAGTGTTTCAGCTGGAAGGTTTGGGCACAATAAGTAGCTGGAGTATTTAAATACATGATTACCTTTTACATTACTTTGTGATGCTGTCTAAACTGAAAAATAAATGATTATAAAAATATGTATGTTGATATCTCTCTCTCAGTTTGTACCATTCCGTGATTACATTGACCGCACAGGAAACCACGTCTTGAGTATGGCACGGCTGGCTAAGGATGTGCTGGCTGAGATTCCAGATCAGTTCATCTCCTACATGAAGGGGCGTGGCATCAAGCCTAATCCAGCTCCACCTCCTTACTCCCCCTCAAGCCACACCCTTCAAACCGAAATCTGAAGATCGGGCAAAGAAAAGAGCAATTTTAGAGAGAGAGGCATCGAAACACCGGTCACTCTTTGGTGTCTGCCTATCTGTTTTCTGGGGCCCGAGATCCAGGCAGTATCAACACCAGAATAAGAAAATCCACAGTGTTCTCTTTCCAAAAAGTTCATATTGAGAACTGTTTATGCTGAAATGTTGACACAACAATATGTTTAACTCGTAGACATTTCCATTTGGGAAACAGCAAAAATGGGAGGGGGTATTTTTTAAAAAGGACACACTCAATCATTGGTAAGCATCCTCATTTCCTTTCAGGAAAGTAACCAAGATGGAGTCTAGTTTGCCTTCAGGAAGTTACATGAGTAATTTTGCTTATGGTATGTGTGATGGATTTCCATAAATCTTCCAAGCATCCCTTTCCCCGCCTCCTTCCAGCTTTGAGAAGTTTTGAATTATTGGGAATTTTTATAGCCTGTGTATCATCTGCCTGCCACATATTAGGCCTTCTGTCTTTCCTTTGTAACAGCTCAACTTCTGGATTGACTTGGCAGGCTAACTATTGTGATTGAGTATCTGTTTGATGTCATGTTGATGCTGCTACTAGTTCTTGTACTAAACCCCATCCCTAGCTTGCCCAATTCCCTTTATTGTTTGTAAATCTGCTTTGGCAATATTTGTGCAGGCTTGGATTGTTAATTAGTAGGTCTTAATGCCTCCCTTAAGTCCCTTTTTAAATTTTTCTAAAGCTTTGGTTTCCAGTATCTACCTGGAAACTAATTTCTCTCTTGCCTTTGATATCTGACATTTCTGTGTGGGGCATTAATGACGAATTTGGAACATCAGAGAAGAAAATTAAAACTGAGCCTGATTTGTTTGAATACCTTATGGTGGTTTTGCCTATCAGGTTAGCAATATAAAACATTAACAACAGTCTACTCATTCAGAGCAAATGAGAGCTGCCACATGAAAACATAAAACTGTCCAAATTTCATAATTTGCAAATGCAACCCAGTACAGAGTTCCAGCAATTTCTCAGCTGTTCCATTCTTTTCTGGAGAAAGTAAAATCATAGAGTTTGAAGGGATCATGGAAGTCTTCAACCACCTGCCTTAAAGCATCCCGAAGGTACTTTTTCAAGAGGCAACTGGACTTTCTTGTTTTTCTTTGAAGATGTTTCACTTCTCATCGAAGTTTCTTCAGCTCTGACTGGATGGTGAGGAATGGAAGGTTTTATATTCCTTGCAGACAGCAGAACATTTAGACAGAAATCTTCACATGATCCCTGATAAATGGCTGCAGGGATGGAGACCCCATGAGCCCCATTATACTTATCCAGGCAGATATTCCAGTCCTATCACTAAGACCAGAATGAAAGGCTATTTGGATTCTGCTCATGAATAATTCCCTCAATGGCAGCAGGTAAACTTCCTCTTACTCATAATTGTTTGCCCATCTTGAGACTCCTTCCAGCTCTTCAGACCCAATTTTTGCATTGCTATTATTATCTAACTATACAACCACTCTGGTAGTTGATGTTCTCTTTCCATAGGAGAGCTAGCTAGAGAACAGTTCCCTCTCCAATGATGGTACCTAAATTATTCCCAGAAGGTAGGAAGGAGAAAGACAGAAATCAGAAATGAAATCAAAGATTATGCTATGTTCCTTCTCAGGGTTAAGTGCAAGAATTGAAGCTTCTGAGGACTTGAACACATTGATTATATAGGCCAATTAAAAAAATTATGGTGAAGTCTCCACTTTCCAAATGTTGATTCTCATTTGGCAAAGGATGTACTACTTTGCTTAATTATTTGCAGCATCTCAAATATTCCACCACCATCCCTTTTAACTGACTGCTTTGTAGAAGTTCAAAGAAGGTCTACTTCAAGAATTCACTCTTTGAAACTTTCTGATCTGTTAATAAGATTTGCATTGCAGCTGGCTGGTATTTTGCTCAATTATAGGAGAGTGAAAGTGTATTAAGCAGCAGCTGAGCAATTATGCCCAGCTGTCTCCTTCAGAGATAATACAAGTGATACAAGTTGCAAGGCACTTCTTGTTCTACAATTAATTTGTTTAGGGTTAATCAAAATTTAACTAAAGGTAGTCTCAAAGGTGCTTTTTCAGGAGGTAACTGGACTTTCTTGTTTTTCTTTGAAGACATTTCGCTTCTCATCCAAGAAGCTTCTTCAGCTCTAACTGGATAGCGGGTAATGGAAGGATTTATATTCCTTGCAGATAGCTGGTCATTTGCATTCTTTTAGAGAGTCGCTGAGGCCACTTGAAGGTTTATCTATGTCCTCAAGATCACCTGAGAGGTGCAAGTGGAGCCTTCTTGGAACTGCTGAAAGGACTGTGTTGTAGATGGAGATAGATGATGTTGTATCCCTCCCCCTCTGTTGAGAAAAGGCTGTTCAATTTTGACGATGTTGAAAAAGTGTCTTGGATGAGAAGTGAAACGTCTTCAAATAAAAACAAAGTTCAGTTGCCTCATGAAAAAGCACCTTTGAGACAACCATGACCTGGATGACTGAGAATCACCATAGACATTCACTTAACTAAAGGTAGTTAACATCTTAGGTGTTCTCAGCCTCTATATACTGGAACATCATTCAGCTCTTCCAATTTGTACGTCAAGAGTGTGCATCCTTGATAGCCCATCAGCCATGTTGGTCTTTGCACAGCACATACTTCCAAAGTGGGTGGACCCAGGACCTATTTTGGGAGAAGATTCAGGGAACATAAGGAATAATGCCATGGGTGCTATAAACATCATGGTTTAATGTCCCCAATGTAAAAGAAAATTCAAGGACTTGGGCCCTCTTGCTCTACTGGGTCATGAGGGTCACAGAAAGAATAGTGAGAGCTATAATTTTTTTTTTGCTCCACTGATGTGAGGGACAAAGGAGTTTGCATGCTTAACATGTGAGATCATATGAACCAGTTGATCCATGACAGTTGTGGTCCAGAAGTTCCTCTGTTTAAAATGAAATAAGGCAAGTTCCACTGTAAGTAGAAATAACAACAGGATATTGCAAAACTCTGTAGAAGCCCGGTGTCCTAAATTGTTATTAGACATGATGTCTTTCAGGTAATTTCCCACAGATATAACCATCAGGTAAATTGGAACAAAGCAGATTAACCCAGAGACTGGAATGAAAGAAGAAATCCCTACCTGTGGATCAAAGATGCCTTTATGGATTACATTATTGCACCAACAGAGATGTGATATAGAATTAGGAGAAGAGATATGCAGTGTCCTTTCTTACCATTTTGGCTATATTGGATCCAGTTTATGGCTGTCTTAGTGGTTTTACTTTGCCACTTATCTTTATAATACCCATTCTATGCTAGTGGTTGTCTTACCCATAAACTAGTGAACATTTTTTTAAAAAAAATTCCAGAGTTCAGTAGTGGGGTTCTTTTAGGGCTTACTAAAAATTGCTAGATTTCAGCAGCTGATAATGACTGAAATCTGCTCGGTCCAGATCCTCTGTTGACCCCCAACTGGTTGGTGAAATTATTTTCAGCTAGAAATTCTTGGACTGAGGCTAGAATTATTGTATAAAACTACCCAGCCCATATGCTGAATGATATAATCTCAGGGAGAAATCCTGAACTATTTACAATGAACGAGAGTTCTATTTTTCACTTTGCTTTTGCTGTGAATTATATTCCCCAAAATGTTACTTGCACAGCTATATGGTCTTCCAATGCTCAAAATAAATTAATTTCTTTGTCTTAGCACTATACGGAGATTTCTCTCGCCCTCCCTATCCTTTTCAGAATGAAAAGCTTCCAAAGGAGACAGTGGGAGGTATCATGGCCCAAATACTGAATGAGCAGAATGTCTGTGCATGTTGGTTGTAACCCATCTTCTATTTGTGCATTGCTGACAGTAAAAGTGCAACTGGTGGATATTGTTTACTCTGCAGTTCTCTGTACTGCATCTTTGTAAAAGCATGGTGAAGCATGTCAGAACAATCTTGTCCTCACGTGTGTGAGTGGAAAGCAAGAAAACCTACATCATGCAAATTGGTACTCCATTGAGTAAAGATGCAATGTTTGCAAGAGAAAGATATCTGACATAAAAGTCAGCTTTTTAGATGGGCAAAACTGCTGAATCTCAGCCCCATAGATTAGCTCTAAGTTGTAATGGAAACAGTGACGATCTTTTTTTAGGCAATCTTCTGAAGACATGAAGTAAGGCTGTTGAACATGCAGTCTTATTGCCCAAATCAAAATATCATCTACTTACCTAACTCTTACAGCCACCCGGCATGTTTTCACCTATCTATATTTCTTTCTCCATTCATAGCTCTTTTTATTTGCATGGCAATGACTTTTATCTCTTTTATGCTACAATATATTCTATGTTGATTGTTTGATGTAATATGGTTTCTATTGGATTGCCTTAAATTGAAATAAATGATTCCTTTTATTTAAATAGCATGGAAGCAAGCATAATTTGTTAAGGTTATTAGATGCCGATTGCAAAATTGGAGAGGACAAGTTGGAAAAAACATTTCAGGAGAGACAATGGTGTTATATTGCACACACTGAAAAGAAGCAGGTTATGGTAGAAAACTTTTGGAGATATAATCATTACTGATATTTCTTTCCTCATTGTTACAAGCATATGTACAAAATCTTTGAACAAATTCTGAAAGAATAAATATTTGTGGATTCATCCGAACAGTAATTAAAATATACCTAATAGCATAAGTCAATGAGTGGCAACCTGGACATACAATACAGTACAGTAGCTTTAAACTAGGTACACTGGTGGTTACTGAGAGCAGATATTGATTACAGCTGTTCAATTATTATAATTAGATTAAACCTGGAGGCAGAATTTAAATGGTCTGAAATCAGGACAGATAGGCTCAGTTTGTAACTTTTTCTACCTTTATAGGAGATACATGTAAAGAAAGGCCCTTTTGACACAATTTGTGTTGACTCATAGATTTTGAATATGCCTGAAACAGCACGAGAATAAGATACAGCACTTAGTAGTATTTGAAACGAGAAACAATTTTGAATTTCAAATGAGATGGTGTGGACTTGAAAGTTTTCCAAAACTGAAAACATCAGTCTCAAGCTTGAAATACCTCAAAATTATCCAAATAGCCTCTATTGAATGCAAAACAAGTGATTGAAGCTGGAAGCTTGGAAATAGCAGTTGTTCAAATCAGAAAGGTTTTGCATAAGATTTTAAGTCTTAATTATAGCTATTTACTGGGTAATATTGGTTATGACTTGTAATGTATTCTTAACAAAGGGCAGTATTGCTATTTTTCCTTAAAAGAAGAATTGGTAAAGACAAAGTCCTAGACAATGGTGAAGAGAGATCCTGATGTGAGATAGTTTGAATTTAGAGTTTCTTATCCTCCAGGTAAGGCTCAGCAGTTAAAGGCAGTGAGCTTGTCAGCTGGAAAGCTGACAGCCCAGGTTTAAGACCTGGGCACTGTGCAATGGGATGAGCTCTCATTACTTGCCTCAGCCTTTGCCCATCCAGTGATTCGGAAGCCTGCAAACGCGAGTAGATAGGTACCACTTCAATGGAAAGTTAACAACATTCCGTGTACCTTGACATTTAGTCATGGTGGCCACGAAGAAGATGATGAGTACCACCCCTAGAAGTGGATATGATTGGAGAGGGGAAACCTTTACCTTTACTTTATCCCCCTAGTAAATTAAAATCTTAGGGCTTGGAAATTCATGTTGTATAACAATATTCTTAAACACTTTGGAGGTTGTTCGGTGTAAACTTTAAATCATTGAGAGTTTTGTGATCAATATGATATGTCTAGGACAACTGACACTACTAAATTCACACAGATGAGTGTGCAATAACATTCAAAAGGGCTCTGGCTGCCTGCAAAGTGTTGTGTTTCTGTTCATGAAAACCTTTCCTTGTTATTATGGCTTTGCAACATGCTAATTCACTGTGTAAAAAGCACAGACAGACATATTGCTGGCATTGAGAAGAAAATTAGGCACCGTGGAAGACTGGTATTAAAATAAAGAACATGAAAGAATAAGAAAAACAAAGATTTGAAATGCAGCAAGTAGAATTACAGTATGTAAAAAAGATTCTATATTCTCTCCCTGTAGAGTGCTGGGCATTTATACTTATAGAGTATCGGCCTCCCAATCTGGTATTTTACATGATACAATCTCTTTTCACTTAGTCAATGCAATACACATAAATCATTTCACATAAAGCTCCTTTCTGGATCTCACTTGCTCTAAAATGTTAAGATGACTCAAGAAATGTCTTTCAGGGTGGAATCAGGAGCTCTTGTTGAGAAAGCAGAATCAAAGGGATATCACCTTGGTGTAGCCTGACGTAGAGTACCAAGGAAAGCCTTGATCCATAGTACAGTTTTATGAGGAGAATCCATGGAACCTGTCCCCCCCCCACCTTCATTTTTAAAGTGGCATTTTACATATTGCTTAAACAAACTCCTAGTTTCAGACACCCATTCTAGAATGATAGTGTAATACAGTGTAGCAAAAATCTAGAAGATGGTAGTTCTCTAAACCAGGGATCTCTGAAGTTGGCAATTTTAAGACTTATGGACTTCAACTCCCAGAATTCCCCAGCCAGGCTGGCTGAGGAATTCTCAAGAACTGAGGTCCACAAGTCTTAAAATTGCCAACATTTAGACCCTTAGTCTAAACCTAGAAGTAGAACAAAGTGAAGAGCAGTACACTAACTAGTAATGAAGTAACACAAATCCACCATAATACTAATACAATACAGACTAAGAATTAAAATCACTCTGTACAGTACTGAAACTAAAATAATATCCTCCAATTGGAATCAAAACAGGCTTACAGATTTTAAAGAAGAAGAAAAAAAGAACTTGAGGCTGGTGTTGACTCCGTCGCAAAATGGCAAGACATGAGAAGCAGTTGTAGTTCTCAGGAAACCTTTATTCTGCAGTTCAGCTTACATTGGAATATGGCGGCAAAAGCCCAAAACTCGCAGCCTCCTTTTATAGAACTTTCCCAGGTCAATGTGTTACTTTTCGCGCGCCAGTACTTGCGCATGCGCACAAGCACTGGCGACAGCCTGTCTGGTCCCGGGCAGCTTGCACCTGCCCGGGACCGCCTGCAATGCCCCGAGCCTGCTTGCAAGGCTCAGGACATAACAGCTGGCACTCAAAAAAAAATCAGTTTTAGTGCCAGATAAGCTTATGCTACAGAGGGAAGTATTTGTTTTTTGTCTTTGTGTTGGCTGCTGGCAACTGTTTTTTGGGCAAGATTTCAGAAGTTGCTGGCTTCCTAGGGCTGAGAGGGAGTGACTGGCTCAAGGTCACTCAGCTGACTTACTGCCTAAGATGGGACTAGATGGGACTAGAACTCCCATCTGAGTCCTTTGGGATTGGGCGGCATATAAATATTTGTAAATAAAATAAATAATAAATAAATAAATAAATGAACTCACAGTCTCTTGGTTGCCTTAACTACTATGCCAATACTGGCTTTCAGCGAAAGTAGGGTTAACACTAAAAATCCCTCTCTCAAGTTATCCTTAGAACTCAACAAAGAGGGGTCAAATGAGCAAGATCATCCACACATTTTTAAGGCAAAAATAGGTACATAAACAAGAAGCATCATTAACGCAAACAGTCCTTTGCATTGAGTTTGGAACAAATCAGCTGCTTGGGAAGCTGAGATAGTTTGGCTAGGGATTTATACTCAATGAGTTGTTCAGAACAAAATAAATGAACCTGCTACTTGTCACTATGGTGGTAAAAATAAACATCCAGATTAAGATTTCTCTGATCTTGGATCATACAAAGCATGCCTTCCCTCATCCTTGCAGATCAGTGTTCTGCTCTCAGATGAGGGAATCTGCAGTTTTCCAGACTGACTCTTTGAATGGGAATTTTCAGCTTGGAAAGCTCCCAGAGAGTCCATGTCTTGCATAGGATTCAGGAAAGGAGATCAGAATCCAAGGAAATCTACGTGTTGCTTTTAGTCGTTTAGCACATTTCCAACCTGAGACAGGGTTTCAACTGGTCATATGAGATGAACAGCCCCAAAATAGCTCCATGGGTTCATGAGTTCACTCGAAGTACGAATTCTAATCCGCATAAACATACAGCTTTTCAGCCTGCCAACTTCAATTATATAAACTAGCCAATATTTATCATCATATTAAAAACTATTAACAACCACTGTGTTTTAGACATTTATACATACTGATGTTTGTTACCCACAAGTTGAAAGCACCGATTCAGAATCTGTAATATTGAATGAAGGTAGAGAAGGCAAAGAAATCATAATTAAGGCCCTTAAAAATAACTAGCTTACTAAAACTGAATAAGGAGAATTTGAACCACACATAAAGCTGAACATATTAAATATTGTAGGAAAATACTTAAGAAATATTAAACATTTATAGGAAAATGCATCAGTATGAAACTATTAAGCAACACCTACGCCTTGTGCAGTTCCCAGCTGGCCTTGGCTGACCTCTGAAAATTAAGCAAAGTCAGACTGGATTAGCACTTGGATGAGAAACCACTATTCCCCCCCCCCAAGATATTAGACAATGTTATGATGTACAGAAAAAACTGACAGAGCTTTGATCACAATCATAGCTGCCATCTTGACTTTTCTGACCAAATTCTGTGAGCACCCTTGCAATGCAAGGGAATTGAAATAAAACATTCTGGGAGAAGACAATGTGTCACCGCTTCCAACCCAATTTTTAAGAGTGTACTTTTAATTAAAACACATGGTGTTAATCTGCACCACAGACCTGAACCAATTTGAAATATTAAATGTACTTACAAGCAGAAATCTAGCATTTAACTGAAAACTAGCTCTCAAGAGGGAAGGATGCCAAAGAATTAACTGATGAGCTTTTTACTGGTATAAATGGCAAAATAGATGCGGGCAGGGTACAAACAAGAGGATAACTATCCAGCAGGTTGCAATTCCAAAAGAGTTTTTGAAATTATGAAAGCATTTTTTTGTGTTTGGAGGCGAGAGACAGTAAAACAAGAGGGGATTTGTTGAATTAAAAACAGCAGGAAGTAGCAAAACCCATCCAAATATGCAAGGGTGAGGGGGAATTAAGAAAAATAAATAATAGATTCGCCCAGTGAAGTTTTTCTCATACTGTCTGCCACTGTGGGCCACTAAATAAGCATTGGGAAACAGCAGGGATGCCCTGCTTAAATAAACATTGCTGTCTGTATTTTAAAATATTGTAAAGTAGGAGAGCACAGTGTTTGGCGAAGATTATAGGTGCATGTGCATATGCTATTCCATCATCTCCACTTCAACACAGCTTTTTAGAACTATATTTGACATAAATTTGATTGACCACTTGAGGTGAGGGAAGACGCTGCCAATGGGTGAGAGTCAGTGAATGCAGGGGGCAAC